ATCCCTGCAGTGAGGGGGCGGGGTGCTAGATGATTGGAGCTGGGTTTGCCTGGCACAGAATTATTGTGCTGGTTTTGTTTTCTGCTTTTAAATCTCCATTCTCATTTTTGCCAATTTTTGTTAAAACTGAGAGACTGCAAAGGAGGCGAGTTCTTGCTCCAAGTCTGGGGCTTTGCAATGTGGCTGAGGGGTGAGGACCCTCTTCCTCTGCTCACTGTTTGGAGCATGTCACCTTGGGCTGGCAGAACGAGCATCCCGAACACCACTGACTCCTGAGCACGAGCACCGAACGTGGTTATGTTATTGATTGGTTTCCTTCAGTGAACACCGAAAGCTGTTTTGATGCCAGGATCTTCCTTTCACCATTAGATTCAAAGTTTTGTCTTTCATTCTCTGAAAGATTGAAAAACAAAAAAAACTTTAAAAGTGCTTTAAGAATTATTAAAGGAAGCCAGGTGTGGCCCATGCCTGTGATCCCAGTACTTGAGAGGCTGAGGCAGGAGGATCTGGGCTACACAGTGAGTTCAAGGGCAGCCTGAACTATATATATAGTGAGACTCTGTCTCAAAAAAAAAAATTATTGGGGCCAGGGATTTAGCTCAGTGGTGACGCCACCTGCCCTGCAAGTACAAGGACCCGAGTTCGATCCCCGGTACAAAAAAAAAATTATTAAAGGAAAGGCAGAGCTGGGCATTGTGGTGCACGCCTATAGTCCTAGCGCTCAGGAGGATGAGGCAGGAAGACTGCTGTGAGTTCCAGGCCAGCCTGAACTACATAAAGAGACCCTGTCTCAAAAAAAAAAAAAAGAAAAAGAAAAAGAAAAAGCATAATTTCTGGATCCTGCTGTTGTCTTGGTTCCTCCTCCCCTCTCCTTAGCTCCTTCTTCCCTCCTCTCACCCGAACATTAGTGTAGAAATGTGTGGACAGTTTCACTGTTTCTGCCCAGCATAGTGTCACACGCCTGTAATCCCAACACACCTGGGAGTCTGAGGCAGGAGGATGACAAGTTTGAGTTCCACCTGGACATCTTAGCATGACTCTATCTCAAAATATAAAATAGAAAGGGCTGGGGATGCAGCTCACTATGAAGGCCCTGGGTTCAGTCCCTAGAACTGTCACTGGTGGAGAGCCCAGGACGCCTATACTAATGACTTGTAAATTTGGTGATGCTCTTCTGGCCCAGTGCCCAGCCTTACCAGCTTTGTGAAGAAGGTCTTTACACTGTGGCTTGGCACACGGTCTAGCTGGCCATCCTGGGTCGGTTCCTGAGCAGCAAGTGAGAAGTGAGAAGGCTGGCACAGGCATCAGAGAAGGAAGGAAGGGGGCACAGGGCCCAGGCTTTGTTTTCTTCCTGAAGGTGCAAGAATGGCTTCTTCTTTCATCCAGGGAAGTGAGCGGTCGGCACTCCCTGTGCCTCACCAAGTGGAGCAAGTTTCCTGGTGGCTTCTGTTGTGCCATTGCCAGATTGGGAGCCGAGGAGACAGAGTCCAATCTGGGGAAGGCCCTGTGTGCAGGGCACACTGTCTTCTTGTGTGATGGAGCCTCAGTGTGTTAAATGCTGCAACTAGGATTCTTATCTTTGCTAGTAAGTCGCCTCAATGGAAATACTGAACTTTTAAAAAATGTAGCTCAGGCCAGGGATTTAGCTCAGTGGTTCCACTGCCTGCCTCGCAAGCACAAGGTCCCAAGTTCAATCCTCGGTACCAAACAAAAAAACAAAAAAAATATTTGGGCTGGGGATTTAGCTCAGTGATTTCGCCGCCTGCTGCACAAGTGCAAGGACCTGAGTTCGATCCCCGGTACCAAAAAAAAAAAAATGTAGCTCAGGCCGGCCTTGACCTTGCTGTGTGTGTGGCCCTTGGCTGGCCTTGAACTCATGGTGCTCTTGCCTCAGTCTTCCTGGGCTTATAGGCATGCACCACCACACCTGTCTGCTGTTGGGTCTTTGAAGAGGCAGTGCAGTGCAGTGTCATGTAGGGTTAGAGGTTCTCTCTCCCCAGGTTGACCCTGGCTGTGCTGGGTACTAGCTTCTCGGCCTCGGGCAGTTTACCTCCCCTGCCCAGCTTCAGTTTGCTCACCTGTCCTCATCGGGTGATAGAGTGGGTTAGTAAGTGTAGATCACTCAGGAGAGTGTATAGTGTGAGAGGAGAGCCCATTGCCTTCTGGCCAGCCCTCCCTCTTGCTGCCTCAGGTACTCTGGGGTGTTTTTTTTTTCCCCAGTACCGGGGATCCAACTCAGAAACTGGTGCTTGCCAGGCAGTCATGGCACCACTGAGCTACATCCTTGGCCCATCTGGGATGTATTCTTGACCTCACTTTTGGTGATCCTGCCTTTCCACACAGCAGTGACCTCATCCAAGGCAGAGCCATTTCTCTCTCTGTACTTGATGCGTGTATCTAGATGTGGCCCCTGGTGGGCCTCTTTGTGCTGAGAACCCCAGAGGTGCCCACCGTGCCCTCCCAGCCACCTGTGCTCTGGGTCTTCGCACTGAGGGACTAGGGGCATTGAGACTTATCCCAACCTGTTAGCGCACGTTCGGCACATACTGGGTCTCGAAGTTTGGAGCCTGAGGGTGTCGAGGTTGGCCCAGGGGTTCTGAGGAACTCTTCCTGGCATGTGGATGGCTTGTGTGTTTGTGTGGCACCTCCTCCACACATACCCTGACCACCTTTCTCTTAAGGGGCCACAGGTCCTGTCTGACTAGGACCCCTCCCCTTTTGACCTCACTTAACCTTAATTAGCTCCTGACAGACTTTTTCCAGTCCTATTGGCATTCAGGCTTCCATGTGTGAATCTGGGGACGGGCATAATGCAGTCCATAGCATCAGCCCTCCTTCCCGGAGTTACCTGGGCAGGAAGTGAGTGACATCAGCCTGCATCACCTGTCGACTAGGCCCCAGGTGCCGTGTTACCTGCAGGGCAGTGCTGGTGTGTGGAAGGGGAGGTTTGTGGGGTCTGTCTTCCTGTCTCCTTGCACTTGGAATGATGGTGTGAAGGAAGCATGGAAGATTATACTTACTCCGCCTCCAAGCTCAGAGCTGCTGTGTGTGTGTGGGGGGGGTGCACATATTCTGAAGTGTAACAAGGCCTGTCTTGTTACCTCTGTCACTGTGTCATTGTGTAGACCAGGCTGAAATCAGATGAAACGCAGTGGAAGCTCTCTGCCACCTCACAGCAACAGCAAGCACTTTTTTTTTTTGAACCAGAGATCAAACTCGGGACCCTGCACTTTCAAGCCAGGCACAGCGCCACTGAGCTAAATCCCAGGCTAGCAAGCACTTTTTAGTTCTCTGTTAGATGCACTGAATGATGTCTGGTCTGCTCAGATAACCATGCCAGGTGTGTGCCCATTGCCACAGCACCCCCTGGTGAACTGGTGAACTGCATGCACACCCAGAGCCATTCATACTGCCAGCTGGCATCATAGCCAGCAGTACATTTAAAGATGGGTGAACTGAGGAAAATGACTACAAATAGAGTGATTTTCTTTTCTCTTTTCTTTTTTTCCTGGAGCTGGGGATCAAATCTAGTGCCTTCCTTGTGTGTGCTGCTAGGGAAGTAAGTACTCTACCACTGAGGTGCATCCCCAGGCCTTTTTCCTCTTCCTGTACATGAAGTTAAAAGCTCTGGAAAGACTCAGTAAAGCCAAGTCACTAAAATACAATACTGTCAAGTTAGGTGAGCAGTAAGATGGGAGGAAATCCTAAGACTAAAATTTTATGTCTTGTGATTACTCTACAGGCGTCTCCATTTTTACTTCATTGTGTGAAGTTAGGATGTGGAAATCAGAGAGAGTTTATATTCTGGCTGGTGAGGATGATGTGGCGCTCTTATAGTGGGCCCTAGTCCAGAGGGTCTTGCCTTGTGGTAGAGAATGCTCTCGTGAACACAGACTGATTGGTGTTATGCCAAAGTAATTTTAAAGATATCGTTTTTTTAAAAAAATTCTTTTATTGGTACATTTTAGGTATACAATATGTTTACATTTATCATTGGGTGCTTGTACCTGTACATGATGTATCTTAGTTCTTATTTTTTTTTCCCATTACCCGTGTGCCCTTCACCCCCTCCACCCTTCCCTATTTACACAGATTTTGTTTCCATTTTTTTTCTTTTCTTATAATTTTTCCTTTCCTTTCTTCCCTTTCCCCTTCCTTTCCCACCACCCACCCGTACACCTCTGGACCTTTTCCTATTTCAAATTATCAATTATTCATTTTAATCATTTTAATCCTTATTTACACTTTCAGTTTCTCACACTAGAGAAACTATTCGGTATTTACACATGTGTCCTGTTTATTTCACTTAAGAGTATGGCCTCGATATGCATCCATTTAGCTATAAATGTCTCTAGTTTCTCATTCTTTATGGCTGAGTAGTACTCCATTTCATAGAAAAACCATGTTCTTTATCCAGTTTCCAGTTGATGGGCATTTGGGCTGTTTCCAAGCTTTAGCTATCACAAACTGTGCTGCTATGAACATGGGTGCACATATTTCTCTGTGGTAGGATTCTTTTAATTCTTTTGGGAAGATACCCAGCAGGGGCATAGCTGGGTCAAATGGGACCTCTAGCCCTAGTAAAGATATCGTTTTTATGACAGTTTGTCCTAACTTTTTTAGTTAGCCTGGTTCTTAGACCTGATCACACCAAAACTGAAGGTTCTTATGCTGTGACTCAGTTTAAAGTGGTTTTGATTTCAATTGAGAAAATTTAGGGAATTTGTTTGTGTCTGTGTGTATGATATAAATGTAATGAAACCAACATTAGTGGGGCTTTTTGACTGAGGCTTGAAAGCAGCAGAAGGTGGCTCAGTCTTGATTTTAGTAGCTTCTTTGGTTTCTTCTGGAGGCATGCAGTATGTGGAAACCCTAGTGAGGTTGTCTTCCAAGTGAGGAAGTGAGGCTGCAGAGGGAAGCTGGATGAAGGGCCCTGGGGACAGGAGCTCTCAAGTGGGTGCCTCTCCAGTGACTATGTCGCCCCGCCCCTCCTTGCGCAGGACCAACCTAGAGGCCTTGCAGAAGAAGCTGGAGGAGCTGGAGCTGGATGAGCAGCAGCGGAAGCGCCTCGAGGCTTTCCTGACACAGAAGCAGAAAGTGGGAGAGCTGAAGGACGATGACTTTGAGAAGATCAGCGAGCTGGGTGCCGGCAATGGCGGCGTGGTGTTCAAGGTCTCCCACAAGCCGTCCGGCCTGGTCATGGCCCGAAAGGTGAGCTTACCCAGATAAATGACGGTCTGGGGACAGGCCAGGAGGAAGTCAGACTTCTCTCAGATTGGGGGGAGCACCCTAATGATTGTTGGCCTGTGTTAATCCCCATCTTGGGCCCAGGAAATACCAGCCAGGGGCGCTTCTGTAGCTTCTGGTGTGCTGTGTGGGCAGGGTGCCAGGTGTTGGTTTGTCGCCTGTCAGGTACAGGAGGAGCTGCTTTTGTGCTCAGGGTGCACCCTGAGTTCTGGTTGTTTCCTGTGTGACCGGCTCGCCTGTGGCTCCCTGCAGCCCCTGCAGTCCCACCTCTGAGCTCCTCTCCGTGGCAGCATCTTCGAGCTGGACTTTGCTTTTCTGTCCACCCTTGGTGCCTTTTCTGAATGCAGCTCTCACCCTGCCCTGTTCGGAGAACTTGGACTTGCCCATGTTACAGCTTACATGTCCGTTCCTGTCCCCTTGTTGTGCTTGTGCCCCTCACCCAGCTTTTTCCAGCTACTCCACCTCATGCCAGCAACCACACTTCATGTCCTCTGACCGTGACTATGGGCTTCTTTTTCTTGAGACAGACAGCTCTATAGTTCTGGCTGGCCTTGAACACACTACGTGGCCCAGGCTGGCCTTGATTTACTGTGATCCTCCTGCCTCAGCCTTCCGAGTGCAGGGATTGCAGGAGTGTGCCAACCACAGCCAGCTTTTTTTTTTTTGCTTTTTTGAGATAGGGTCTCACTATGCAGTTCAAGCTGTCCTTAAACTCAGTATGTAGTCCAGGCTGGCCTTGCACTTGTGATCCTCCTGTCTCAGCCTCCCTAGTGCTGGGATTATAGGCATGCGCTACCCCACCCAGCTGACTGTGATACTTTTTAGAAGCTCAGCATTAGTAGGTAACCACTTAAGGTGTCTGCCGCCTGTCTCTGGGGTTGGAACAAGGGACATTGTTAGGGGGGCATAAGGTAGCACCTGAGACTTTGGCTAAATCTCAAGCACATCAGGCTCCTAAGGGCACAGAGGAAGCTATTGGGCAGCCGAGGTTGGTGTAACCCAGCTTCCCATGCTTTCCACCCCAGCCCAAAGAGAAGCCAAGCCCCCCAGCCAGTTTCCCCTTAGACTCTGGCTCCATGGGTCTCTCAGGAGCAAGCCCTGTGTTTGTCTTGTTCTTGGGAGGCTGCGCCCCCATCCCTAGGAACAGCAGCTCAGCTGCTCTCATGCTGACCGCTCTGCGCTGCCCACACCTGCCTGATGCACCGGCACTCCCTTCCTTCTCTAACCTTCGGCCCACCACCTCTCTCCCCAGCTCATCCACTTGGAGATCAAGCCAGCCATCCGCAACCAGATCATCCGAGAGCTGCAGGTGCTGCATGAGTGTAACTCACCCTACATTGTGGGCTTCTACGGGGCCTTCTACAGTGATGGCGAGATCAGCATCTGCATGGAGCACATGGTAGGGCGCCTGCCGGCCCTGGGGCAGGGCCAGGGTGCTGGGGGCTCCGGTTGAATCTTCCGTGTGGGAGGTGACAGCTGCTTCCCTGTGGCTCCCTGGATCCACACCACTGTCTGGGGCTTCTGGGAAGCCTGACCGTAGAACCTGGCTTCCTTCTAGGTCCCTGCCTCTCTTCAAAGACAGGTGAAAGTAACCAGGATTCCCTCCCAGTTTCTCCTATCCAGATGACTCCTAAGATTTTGATGTTGCCAGGCATGGTGGCATATGCTTGTAATCCCAGCATTTGGGGAGACTGAGGCAGGAGCATTGCAAATTTGAGCCCAGCATGGGTGATTTAATGAAACTCTGTCTCAAAATGAAAAATGAAAAAAAAAAGATTCTGATATGTTTAAAATCTAGTTAATATAGTTTAAACCCATTTATTGTATATAATTCTGGGTCCTGGGTATAAGGTTCAGGGTTATGAAGATGAGTGAAATAGTCCTTGCCTTCAGAGTTTATAATCTACTTTGAGGGCAGCCTGAGGGGTGTCTCAGGGCCAGGAGAGGAGTAATCCCACCTGTACCTGCTGCACATTAGTGGTGGTCCCGGGCAGGTGAGAGCGTTCAGAGGCTAATGCTAGGTATATGATCTGCCAATCTTTTTACCATCAGCTGCCTAAAATCCCTTTCTTCTCAGTGACTAATGAGAATAACAATAATGGTGTTAATGCTAGTAACGATGAAATGATATTTAGTGGATGTGTTATTGTAAGCAAACCAACATTTTATTGCATTTTCTGAAAACCTTTTTGAATGGGTACATAATTCTACTCAGATGAGGAAACTGAGGCACAGAGAAATCAGTTAACTTACTTAGGTCCTGCAGCTGGTAAGTGCTGTTGGTAAAATTGAAGCCCATGGAGTCTGACTCAGATGCCTGTACTTTCTGTGATGAAGGGACCGGGGTGTCTCCTCCATGTGGCTGAGGGCTTCAGAAAGAGAGGTTGGCTTTGTGGCTGCTAGTTTTCTCTGTTCCCATTGTTGCACCATGGTATAGGGGACTTTAGAATCTGACAGGTGTTTCTCCATGTCCATTCTCCACAGGAACTTTGTCATGTTTGCCACTGAGTCTTGGAAGCCCAGACCATCATTCTTGGCAGGCAGGAGATTCTTGAGAATTGTTTACTGACTATCACTTTCTCGTGGTGATTTTGGGCAGATTTATGTACCTTTGCCTCAGTTTCCTCATCTATAAAATGACCATTATTAGACCTCCTTTATTGTGGCAAGGATTAATTAAACTAACAGAGTAGATACTGTGGCACACGTATGCAATTCCAGCCCATAATCTCAGCTACTTAGGAGGTTGAGGCAGAAGGGTTGCGAGTTTGAGGTCAGCTTAGGCTATTTAGAGAGAGACCCTGTCTCAAAATTAAAAAAAAAAAAGCTGAGATGTAGCTCAGTGGTACAGTGTTTGCCTCGCATGTTTAGGTCCTGGGTGCAGTCCTCACTATTTGCTGCAAATGTTAGCTTTCGGTTTATTTGCATGCCTGGCAGTCAGAGACAGGGCTGACAGGAGCCTGCTGCATGGTGTCTGCTATGCACTCTGTCCAGCATGGTGTCCCTCGGCGCCTTCCTTTCCCTTCCTGTCCCTCCAGCCCTGACCCCACCTCCAGTGCTGGGTCTCAGAGAACTCCGGCAGAGCCCTTCCGGGAGGCTCCTTTCTTGCTATGACCCCCATTATTCTAACGTCTCTTCATTGTGGTCATCAAGAAGGGTGATACACACTGTTGCCAGCCTCTGCCGACGTTTGTGGGTGCTGTACAAAACACAGTTCCCCCGCATGTCTTCTGGTGTCTAGAGGTTATTGGGAACCGTTTCTCCTCTTTGCTTCAGCTGCTGTGAAGCAGTCTCTGTGGGGCTCGCAGAGCTGCCTCTGGCTCGGTCCTGGCCCTGGGTCTGGGTGCCATTGCTTTCTACTACGACAAGGTACCCCCTCGGGTCCTGTTCTGCAGCCTTGTTTCTTGTGCTCAGTGGTGGTGGTGATGGGTTTCAGCTGTGGCCCAAGGGTTTTAGATGAGGGCATATAAATAGCAATGGAGATCCTGGAAGACTAGAAGGAAGAAGTGTGTGGGGTGACAAATCAGTGATGGGATTGGCCAGGGGAGCCTTCTTTCCTCTTGGCTCTTGCCGGCATCCTAGGAGGTGGGTGCTGGGTGGCTAGATAGAGTAGCAGTTCACATTTTCTATCACTTCCCTGGTCCTTGTCACCTCACACCAGCTACAGCCCCAAACTGCGAGGCGGACTGTTGACCCCCCCCCCAGCTTGTAGGTGGGGAGTACAAGTCGCACAGTAGTAAGTACTAGAGTTGCCAACCAAGTCTGCTCTTAAGTTTCCTATGCTCTCTGTTGTCCTAGGCAGGTTGTGTGCTCCCAGAACTTCCACCTCTGCAGAGAAGCGACTGGATGAGCTCTCCTGTTAGGGCCCCTGCTCACACCCTGCGTTTCTATGGTGTTTGGCCCTTGCAGACAGCCGGGGTGTATGTTAGCTGATCAGCATGGTTTCGGCTTCACATGCACTTACTTTCAGTCCCCTTACTGTCCACAGTGCCTCGTGAGCTGCCTTGAGGACACAGACATTGAGAGCAGCATCTCCATCCCTCCCTGAGTGGCTCACAGCTGGCTGCTGTGTTCCAGCACCTTCTCAAGGGATGGCAGTGTAGACAGAAGGAAGCATTTGAGAGCAGCAGCTGCGTGTAACTTCAGGCCTGCTCACATTCTCTCTGGACTGCCCAGATTTCTCCCTGTCATAGGAGAGCCAGGGAGCCATTTGAGGGCTGAGCGTGGTTGAATTCCAGGGTGCTGGCCTCAGAGTTTGGGCGAGGTGTCTCCTTTCTCCAACGGGAACTCTTTCACCAGCCTGCATGTCTTCCTGCCAGGCAGATGGGACGGTCGCATTTGTCTTACACTGACCTCTTCTGAGGTGGTCCTGGAATCCTGCTTATTCACTCTGGACTTGTAGACATTAGTCATGTCCTTTGTGTCCTTGCCATGTCCCCCTTCCCCAGTCTTCTCTAGCAGGAGATGACACTGGAAATAGTAGGGCTTGGATTCCCACCTTCTTGGTCCATTTCTGGTGGCCACGGTAATCTTTCCCCCATGGGTTTGACTCTTTGGGAACAGTGGGTGCTGCCGTCCAAGTCCTCAGAGCAGGAGATGTCTCTGGGATTACCCTGGGCACCTGAGCCTGGAAAACTGACCATCAGAGGCTCGGAGGTAAAAACCTACAGGCATGGTGATATGTGCCTGTAGTCCCACCTGCTGGGCAGCTGAGGTGGGTGGATTGCAAGTTCAAGACCAGCCTAGGCAATTTAGGAAGATCCTCCAGCCAGCCAGCCAGCCAGCCAGCCAAACAGCCAAACAGACAGACAAACAGACAACAGACAAAAAACCTTTTGAGGGCCCAATACAGTGCCAGGGACCTATTAGGTGATACATGTGGAGTGGCTGAATGAGGGTGGCAAGGTGGGTGGGCGGCCAGGTGGGGAGAAGGCCTGCTCAGCCTGGGGTTCAGTGGGAGTTAGGTCTTGGAGTCAGCTCTAACCCCTGGGTGTGTTTGGGTCCACAGGGCACCTGGGACAGCTGTCCATACTCTCAGAGAGGCTCAGAGTAGCTAGGCGGTCTGGGCAGGGCTGTGTAGAAAGCAGCTGTGGTCGGAGGTCCACGCAGCTGTGAGTGACAATAGCTTTTTATCCCCTCTTCCATGGTCCACCAGCAGGCCCCCCAGTGACAGAGCCCTGTCCAGCTGTCCTCCCTGGAAAGCTCTCTTTCTGCTGGCAGCTGCTTCTCTTGCGGTTTCTTCTGTTGGGCCTCTGCTCAGCGTTTCACAGGTGCTGTCGTGTGGGGAGCACTGCTCGGCAGTCACCTCCCAGTTTCTGAGGGCTTCGGGCCCCAGTCATGGTCTTTGCATGGAGTTCATGTCATTAACACTCGGTTCTAGGAGTTTATGATAAACATTCACAAGTGTACAGAAAGCTGAAGGGATGTACACCGTGCTCCCGTGAACCCACCACTCCAGCCTACTACATTTTGCTGCATCATCCACCTAACCATTGCTCACATCGTCTTTTGGGTGTGTTTGAAAGTCAGCTGTGTCCTCAGTGTTCCGCAAGCCCTATCTCCTGGAGGCCCATCCAGGGCTTGCCTTTCACGGCAGTGAGCTGTGTTTATAGTGAGGCCCAAGGGACACGATCTGCCTCATGGAGAGGAATGTGCTTGTCTTCGAGAAGTAGATTCCTGCCCAAGTGGTAGCTGAGCAACAGGGAACTGGGGACTGGAGTTGATGGTTCTTATGCAGGGGTAAAAGCTTCTGAGCTATTATTTTCATAAAGCACTTGTCTCTTTTACAGAAAACCTTCACAAAAGTACCATTGACATAGCTAATAATTGACTTCTAAAAATAAGTACCATTTAGCAATTCTAGTCAGCGAAGGCGGAAGGCAGTGAATTAGAATTAAAAGGCTCTCGGGTTAGTTGCAGGTGACTCTGGATGATCCTGATTAGCCGGGCCCCTGACATCCTGCTAATTCTGTTGTCTTCCCTGTAACTCTGCTTGTAGCCCACGAGGTTAAAGGGAAGAGTCTTGGTGTTTCTTCCTTTTGTTTTTTGAAAGTGAGTCTCACTATGTAGTGCAGGCTGGCCTCAAATTCACAGTGGTCCTCTTGCATCAGCCTCCCAAGTGTTGGGATTACAGATGTGCACCACCACGCCCAGCTTGTTTCTTCCTTCCTTTCTTTTTTTTCTTTTTTTTTTTGGTACCAGGGATCGAACTCAGGTCCTTCTGCTTACGAGGCAGGCGCCGGAACCACTAAGCTAAATCCCTGTCCCTTCTGTTTGTTTTTTGACAGTGCCAGGGTTTGAACCCCAGGCTCACACATGAGGCAGGTACTCTATCCTGATCTAGGTGCCCAGCCTCTAGTTTATGAATCTAAAGAGGTAAAATATTTATACATTACAGAAGATTTATAAGCTATAAAAAGCACAAAGAAGAAACTCATGCAGCAGAAATCGCGTTAACCCTACGGTCTAGATTGGAGGTAGTTCTAATATTTTTTTACTTTGTTTTGTGTGAGCATGCGTGGCCTTTTAATTTTTCTACAAAGGGGATTCTGCTTTTTTCCCCTGATATCCCACTTTCCAACTACAGAAAACAGTACTGATTCTTGAGTAAAATTTCAGTGCAAGCCAGATGTGGTGGTGCAATCCCAGCACTCACGAGGCTGAGGCAGGAGGATCTCTGTGAGTTTGAGGACAGCCTGTGCTATATAGTAAATTCAAGACCAGCCTGCACTACACATCAAGGCTCTGTTTTCAGAAAAGGAAAGATTTCACCTTTAATGCTGCCTTCTGAGTTTAGTCAGAACTCCTGCTCCCTTCTTTTTTATGTCTATAGCACTTTTCTTAGACGTCTGATTTGTTTATACATTTCTGATTTTTATATCAGTTACTAAGTTTATTGAGGACCCAGTGACTTTTATATTTTTGTTCCCTGTAGAAGCTAACGTAGTCCAGTGCACTTGTGGAGTGACATTAGTCTATAACATTAGTCTTTGGATCTGGCTAACTATAATTAGGAGAATGCGGAATGCAATTCTGAGAAAGTGCTACCATTTACTACGTGCTTGTTAGGGTCTGTGTGCTGTTCTACACGCTTTATGTGTGTTAGCTTGCTTAGTCCTCACAACAGCCCCATGAGTATGTCCTCAATGTCCTCAAGTCCCCTGGAGAGGAGGTGGCAGGCGTGGAGTTCAGAGTCCAGCAGTTGCCTGCAGAGCTGGCTCCCAGTCGTGAGTTCCAGCTTGGGATCCAGCACAGGGATTTGGGCAGGGAAGCTCCCAGGACTGGAGTTGCTGGAGGTCTGGTGCTTCCGCAGCGTTTTGTGTTCAGAACCTTATTTGGTCCTGGACATCTGGAGCAAAGCCAGAGTGCTTCCAGTAATCTCCTGGGAGACTGGCCATGAGTAAGGTTCACTTTCCTCCTGAAGTTTAGCACCTGAAATGAGAGAAATATTGTCACTAAATGGCCTGGCTTTTTATTCTCAGGATGGGGGCTCCTTGGATCAAGTCCTGAAAAAAGCTGGAAGAATTCCTGAGCAAATTTTAGGAAAAGTTAGCATTGCTGTGAGTATGTTGTGAAGTTGTCCTGTTGTGTTTTTTTTGGTACCAGGGATCGAACTCAGGACCTTGCACTTGCAAGGAAGACTCGGTGGCACTGAGCTAAGTCCCCAGCCCTGTTGTGAAGTTTTTCTTCAAGGTTCTTTCATTGATAATGACTTGTAGGAAACAGATAAGGGAGGAATCTAGAAAGTCAAGGGAGGGAAAATTTATTTTTAAAGAGGGGTTCTTTAGCCAGGGATGTTGGTGGACACCTGTAATCCTAGAAGGCTGAGGCAGGAGGATTGCAGAGGCCAGGTTAGGCTTCATAGTGAGTTCAAGGCCAGTGTGGACAATGTAGTGAGACCCTGTCTCAGAAAACCAAACCTTGCTGAGTGTGGTGGCGCACACCTGTGGGCTCAGCACTTGGGAGGCTGAGGTAGGAGTGTCTTGAGTTTGAAGCTGGACTATGCAACGAGATCTTGTCTAAAAAAACCCCCCAAAACGTGATGTATCCTGTAAAAGGTGGTTGGTTGATAATGTAGGTTGACTAAGTGAAATGAAAAATAAAAAGGGCTGGGGAGGTAGCTCAGTGGAGAGCACTTGCACAGTGTGTGTGAGGCCTGGGGTTCAACCTCCAGCAACGTCAAAGATAAATGCAGAAAAAAGAAAAGAAAGGGAGGTAGGTAAATTTGTTGTTGTTGTTAGATGAAACATTTTCTTTTTACATTCCCTTTGCTCCAGGTAATAAAAGGCCTGACCTATCTGAGGGAGAAGCACAAGATTATGCACAGAGGTAAGAAACTACTTGCTAGTCGTTATGTTTTGAATTTCAGCTGAAATCTAAAGGTTGTTGGGTCCTCCCTTTTTGTCTTTTGTTCTGTTGAAGGTAAAAGTCCTTTAACAACGTTTTTAACCTCTGGTAGAGGCCTTGTTTAGTCTCAGTACCCTTGTTTTTCTCTACCATTGCCTGCTGTGGACTATGTTCTGTGTTTTTCCAAGGAGAGCGCTAACTTGATTTCTATTCTAAAGAGAGGAAGATTTCACCTCCTCCTCGGATTAGTTCTCTTTCTTTCTCCTTCTGCCTATTGTTGCTCCCACCCTCCTGCTGCCTTTCCTGGCTTCGCCAGATGCCTCTCAGTGAAAGGAGAAGCTGCTGTATTGGCCAGATGGGTCCCAGAGAGTGAACCACCTGCCTTTGGGGAGCATTGACTGCCTGCCCGTTGTGCAAGGGGAGCTGCCTAGGCAGAGGCTGCCCGTGAGGCTGCGGGATCTGGCTCCTGCTGTCTGGGTTTCTCCAGAAGCCCTGGAGAGATCAACCATAAGGCAGTGCTTGGCTCTGAGAAAAAAGCATAGCCAGTTCTTGGAGACCTGAGTTAGGGTTCGAAAGACAACGGTGAGTCTTTCTGTCCTTAGGCTCGCGCGCTGTCAGCAAGTTCTGCCCCTGGTCCAATTATAATATGTTCTGACGAAATTTGAACTCCAGTTCTTCTCATTCTGTCTGTGAGGAAAAATAGGGAAGACTACAGAGGTTTTTTTTTTCCTATGTCTCAAATTTTTATTCTTTTTTTTTTTTTGGTACCAGGGATTGAACTTGGGACCTTGTGCTTGCGAGGCAGACTGTGAACCACTGAGCTAAATCCCTTGGCTCTTTATTTATTCTTATGGGCTGTTATTTATTTGCTGGCAAGAACTTCATGATTGTTTCAATTACCTTTTGCTATATAACAAACCACTCAAAGTTTAACAATTTAAAGCAGCAGTAATTTGTTACTTTCTAGCATTCTTTGGGCTGGCAGAGCCTCTTTTCCCATGTGATCCCTTCCTCCCCATGGGCTACCACTTAGCTTCTTCCCTTGCAGGTCTTAGCATTTGCAGCAGCAGATCCAGTGCCCAGCACTTTCAGCCTCTGTTCATGTCAGCGTGTTGACATTTTATTGGCCAAAGCAAGTGACACAGCGAAGCCAAGAATCAAAAAGTAGCTCAAAGACTCCATCTCTTGTTGGTAGAAGCTGCAGAATATTGTGGCCAGTTTTTTCACTCTTTCACAGCAGTGAAATCCAGGATTCAAATCTTGACTGCTATTTACTAATGTAACTTGGCAGAAGTATTTAACTTGTCCCAAATCTCAGGAAAATGGAGAAATCAGGACTTCCCCAAAGGGTTGCGAGGCTTAAGATAATGCATACAAAGCAGTTAGAATAGTGCTTGACACACAGTGAGCACTTAATAAATGTTAGCTGCTGCTCAGCAGACAGGTTAGTAGACTTTTTGGTGATTACCAGCATCAGAAACTGCCATTGGTTTCTGATTTAAATTTGCTTTAAGCTTCTAGAAACTTATTCATTAAAAGGATTCTGGGGGGCTGGGAATTTAGCTCAGTGGTTCTGGTGCCTGCCTCACAAGCACAAGTTCCCGAGTTCGATCCCTAGTACCAAAAAAAAAAAAAAAAAAGGGATCCTAGGGAAGCTCAGAATCCTTTGAGGAGCAGAACCTGCAGGCCTGGGTAGGCCAGGACTCGGGCCACTCTGGGTCACCGAGGCAGAAAAGCACTACTGCAGTCCTCGACTGCTTCTGGGTTGGTGATGCTGGGCCAGCTGTCCCTTTTCAGTCTTACAGCGGTGGGCTGGGGGACGCAGTCATCCCCCAGAGGGGCACAGGGTCAGTGCCTCTGAGGCATCCATGCCCTCAACATCACACAAGCACCTTGTTTTCAAGTCTGGTGTGCAGAAGTGACAGTTTCCCATTAGGTTGAAAGTGATTTCTAGATATGGTCTGCTCTAACTAAAACTAATGCACAAAAAGAACTTATAACAAGTTGCTCTGGGGGCATTCTTTGCTTTTTCGCAGGTTCATTATAGAGGAAGGATCCTATGGAAACTTCAAAAAGGCAAGCCAGCTGTGTCAGTTTGAGTCCAGCACTTTTCTCTAGGAGTAGTTGAGTAATAGCACACAGGCACACCTGCACGGCAGATGCGGTTTTGGCAGGTCACTGTTCTGGCCAGAGGAAGTGCAGGAATGGTGTTGGGGGAGACCAAGTGTTTGCAGGTACTGTCTGGTAATGGTCTTTCCAGCTAGGCAGTGCCTCCTCTGCTCAGTGCGTGTCCCCTGGGCCCAGGGAGGGACCTTAGCTGGCTTCCACACACAGCTGGCTTTCCGCATGTCCGGTGCATCCACACGGGGTGGGAATGCAGAGATAAGCAGGTCTCACCCTTACCCCTGAGTGACCTGTCTGCTGGCACAGCAGGGCCCTGGGCCGGAGCTCTGGGCAGCTGGTCTAGATTTCACCATAGGGGGCTGGTCCCAGTGATGTGTCCTGGTGCTGTGCAGAACACTGCATTCTGTCTCCCGGGCTGCGCTAAGGGAGAGGCCATCTGCGAGACTCAGCCTGCTGTCTGTGGTTTGCGCGCTGCTGCTGAGGGCTGGGCCCCTCTGGGAGTGTGCATTTTCTCAAGATCTGTGTGCCACCCTGGTGGATGGTTGTGGGTGGCTACATGTACATGCTCCTTCACGCTTAGTCCTCCTCATCTGAGACAGGCAGTTCATATTTGTAAAATATTTATAGAATACCTGCCAAGAGAGAGATACTGGCTGAATCACTACAGAGGCCATAAAGACGGCTCATAAATGAATTGTGTCTTCCAGGGGAAGGAGACTTATCTGTAAACTCTAGTGTACAATGGAACATAACCAATGTCATTTTTTTATGCATGAGTCATGACCTTGCCAACTTTCAAGCAGAATCTGATGTGACATAATTTATTGGCCAGAATTCTTTGGTTGTGTCAGAACTCAAGATTACTAATCAGAGAAGGATTATGTTGGTTCTGAAGACAGGGATGAAGATGGAGTGTGAGGCCCTCAGGACTGCAGTTCCCTCTTGGCTTTGCTCATTCTCGTGGAGGCTTCCTTTTCGGGCAGGATGTCCTCGCTGAGACCAGGGTAGCCCTCACTAGCTCCAGACATACCTGGTCCTTGGTGCTCCCTAACCCAGGGGATGCTCCGCCCACTCTCCCCAGCCCACGGCTGTGGTGAGCCTACTGATTGGCTCTGGTGAAAGCATCTGCCCAGGAGTGGGCCAATCACAGCACCCAGGGACTAGTGTGGTCTGGGGACCAGGCTGTGGGCTGTGAGCTTACCCCTGGGGTAGTAGGCACCAAGCCTCTTGACAGGCCTGCAGCCATTAGCTTGCTCTTACACTTCCATTAGAACATACTTATAAGGGATGTGGTTATCTTGATCTCCCATCTGTTTCTCCCAGATCACAGCCATTGCTTCCAGTTTTACAGTCTCATATCAGAGAGGGAAGAGCTCTGCTGGGCTTCTGGCAGGAGACTGAGGAGACTCCTCTGGGTCAGGCGCCCAGAACTGCTGGGGTCACCTCGGCTGGGGCATGGGCCCTGTGAATGACCCAGGCTGGGGCCAGTGGCCCTGTGGCGGAGGACAGGGTCTCTGGCTGTCAGTCTGCAGCCTGAGCTTCTGGGCTTCTGGGGGCGTGAAGGAAGGAGTGTGTCCCCTGGAGCAGTGTGTGTGGAGGTCTTCTTGCTGGACTGACAAGGACTGTGTTGTTCTCATATCACAAACACTGTCATCTGAGTGATTCCTGTCACCATCTGTCCCCAGCCAGGTGAGGAGCCTGACCTTCTGACCTCTGCTCGGGACTGTGCTGGTGATTTATGCTGGGCAGTAACCCACGCCCAAATGGCAGTGCTTTGGTTTGCTGGCTCCTAGGTCACCACAGACATAGTGAGTGACCTGACCAGAGGTCCTCATTTGAAAATGAACTGATTGTCCATGTGTCTCCTTTTGCCCGGTCTTCTATCCCTTTCACCTCTTGCTGAGCAAGAATTAGCCTTAAGCAGGTGGGAAGAGGATTTTAGCTAATTTCTGGTCTTGAGTGGCAAGTGCTAGGAATCCAGGTGGTCAGCGTGGCTGTCCTGACCACAGTTGGGGGACTGGCCTTGTGACAGATTGGGGTGTAACCCGGATAGTCTGGGGTGGGGGGTGCTGCTTAAATCCGGGCTTCTCTTGATGGAGAGGTTACTTCTGACAAGGAACTTCATTGTGGGTGCTCAGCATCCACGCCTGTCACATAGGACTGCTCTATCTCACATTGTTATAGACTCACTAGGATGAGAGCAGGGAATCCAAATCCCAGAGCCCTTCCCAGAACCATCCTTCTTCCCCTCCCCTCCCCTCCCCTCCCATCCTCTCCTGCCTCCCTGGCTCTCCTCTCAGTGTAACCTCTCTCTCTGGCTCTTGTCACACCCTGTCTTCAAAATTCAGATCAATCCTTGGAGTGGTGGACAGGGGTGCATGATGGGAGGAACCAGGCATCTGGAGGGAGGGAAAGGCTCTTCAGTGCAGATGCTGGTTAGGGTGGAAAGATACTGGAAGCAGAGGCGATAAAAAGGTTGCTTGTTAGGCTCTGACCCGAGCTCCTGGAGCCCTTGGAGCTGGGTGCTGATCAGGTGGAGCGGGGGGAGTGGCTCCAGGCTCTGCCTCACTTGTCCATGTGGGCAGTGCGCTGCTGAGCCCGAGCTCAGGCAGAAGGTTCACTCTCACAGCAGTTTCCAGGATTTCCGAGGCAGTTCCTAGAGCACTTAGCACCTCCTCCCCGGCTCAGCTTTCTAATGACTTGGGTGAAATTCTGGGGCTTGGTGCCCTGTGGTTTGCTTCGAGCCCCGCTGTCTGAGTTCTGGAGAGAGAGCATCCCTCAGGAGTATGGGGTCCAACTGTGCTGCCTGAAGGGGGGTCCTGCCTCCGCTGTGAGGGTCCCAATCCCCCCCTCACACCATGTGCCTGAGAATGTGTTTAACAGGCCTGCTGTGGGTTCACCCAGGGCTCCTGGGCTCCCTTTCCCTCCTAGTCTCTCAGCTGGGAAGCAGGGAGGAGAGGGTGCAGAGCCCCTTAATCAGCTGACTTGGGGAAGGAGATGGGAAAAGAGGTCACAGGGAAGGCTAATTGAAGGGTTTGGGATTTTCTCTGGATTTTAATGACCTTCCTTCCCTAGTTAGCTTCCTAAGGCCACGGATGGCTGGAGGTGGCCCTGTGCAGGCTATGGGTTAACTTGCCGGTCTTAGCACCCTTTCCTGTTCCTCCATCTGCACAGAAAGGTTCTTAGGGCTCTGCCAAGGATGCCAAGAAGAGGTGGTCTGAAACCTAGGGTCACCAGTTTAAAAACCTCATTTGGGGCTGGAAGTGGAGCTCTGTTTGAAAGCACTTGCTTAGCACACACGAGCCCTTGGGTTCGATCCCCGGTACTGTGTAAATAAATAAATCAAAATATTTACAATCTCATTTGCCTTTTTTGAAGCCTTTAGTTCTCACTTTTCCAGGATCATCTCACATTTGGATTCGGCCCGTGTCACAGATGAGCCGCTCTGGCCTTTGGTGTCACCCCTCTTGCTTGTTGCCCAGCCCCCGCTCCTTCCTGCCTCCTCTCTCCACACTCTTCCCGGCTCCCCGCTCAGTGCCTGTCCTTTGTCCCTGTGCCACTTTCCCCACCCTGTGTTAGGAAACAGCTCCTTTATTATCTAAACCAAGCAGAAGGAAGGTGCAGGGACACAGGGGACCCACTGAGCTGCTCTCACCTGCTGGGAGAACCGAGTCCCCTTCTCTGGGACCCTGCCCCACCTGTGCACGCATGCTCTGGATTTGATGGGCTCCGTCTCCCCTGTTGGTGACAGCCTCGAGGGACACAGACCAGGACTGTTTTCTTTACTCATTGCTCTGTGCAGGTGCTCCATGTGTTTGTGCAACAAACAAGTGGGCCACCACATTATTTTATCTAAACCCCTATTCTTCAGGGGCAGAAAATATTTAGAAATTAAACCTCAAACTATATGCTCCTGGGAAATTCAGGGGCTCTGAACAGTGGTTATTTCTGACGCAGAATATAGCAGAAGCTGGGCATGGTAGCACACACCTGTAATCCCAGCACTTGGGAGGCTGAGGCAGGAGGATCGCTGTGAGATCAAGGCCTGGCTGGGCTACATAGTGAGTTCAAAGTCAGCATGGACTACACCCCCTCCAAAAAAACCAGAAGAAAATACTTTCTCCCATTTAGGTTTTTTTTTTTGTACTCACAAGTGCAAGGTCCTGAGTTTGATCCCCAGTACCAAAAAAAAATACCTCTTTGTTTTTTTTCTCTTTTGTTTATTTTCATTTGTTTTGTTTTTTGAGACAGGATCTCACTATGTAGCCCAAGCTGACCTCAAAGTAACAGTGATCCTCCTGCCTCAGCCTCGTGAATGTTGGGATTACAGATGTGTACTCCCACACCTGGCCCTCTTTCTGTTTCAAGAGGAAGGATTACCTGTCATTGCAGGATCGGGCAACATGCCTCAGCATCCTGGGGGTCCCCTGGGAGCCCATGGTGAAGGATGCAGCCTGGCCTGCCAGCTCCTGGGCTCCTCCAGTGTCACCTCTTGACACTGAAGGATCAGTGAGAACCTGTGGCCTGGAGGAGGCTCTGGAGGTGGAGGGCTGGGCCTGCCATTCAGTCCCCTGTGGGTTCTGCTAGGACAGTATGGGAGAAGCAGGGTGCTGTGGCAGGTGGGAGAGGGCTCAGGAGAGCCAGCTGGAGGTGGGAGGGCATAGAAGGGAGGGCCTGCATGAGGGAGGCTGCCCTGAGTGGGCAGGGCTTGATGGGGAGAGGGGGAGGGGGAGGGAGGGAGCGCAGAGGCCTTAGAAAGCCAGCAGAGGGGTCTGTGCCACAGGCAGACGAGTCATGGCAGGCTGTGTGCAGAGGCTGTCCTGCTGGGGAGGGCTGGCTCCCATGCAGAGGAGGTGGAGGGGAAGCTGTGGGGAGGAGAGAAGCCGGGGAGGGCTGGCTGCTATGGGGAGCTGGTGCAGCTGCCCAGGGAGACACGAAAATGAGCCCTCCGACCTTGTGTGATGACATCCCATGTGTGTGTTCTGCTCTGTGTCCTGCCTGGCCGAGGCTTCTTGAAGAGGGTGGGTGCATGGTGTGGTCTGGCAGCCTTCATGTCGTCAGGTCTCCTGTCAGGCTTTCCAGGTCACTGCGAAGTACCCCAGTGCCACTGATGTCCACAGCCTGGCAATGGGTAGAATCATCAGAGGATGCAGGAGGCTGGTGCTGGCAGCGGGTGGAAGGGAGCAGTGTTATGTAAGGCTGAACAGGAGGCTGTGGCAGGAACAGCAGCAGGGTGCAGGCTGGCTCGCCAGGGGAAGGGCTGTACACTGCTTCTTGGAACAGCTGATCTGAGGGGAGCCCCTCTCTGTCCCTGTAGCACAGTATGCATCTCGAGGGATGGGCTCCATCCAGCGCAGCAGGCCCAGAGAGGAGCAGGGACAGCAGGTGGCAGTGCCGGAACTCGAACTCAGGGCGTCAGTCTCTACACAGAGGTGAAGGTCCAGCAGGTCTCCTGGCGTGGTCCCTTCCCGCAGCCTCCCACTCCACACCCCACATGACCTCTGGGGACTGAGGGACAAGGATAGTGCCTCTCACCGGCAGCTGCTGGACTCTTCCTGCCTGTGTCCCCAGAGCCTGTCCTGACAAGGCGAGGGGAGGGGACAGTCAGTCCCTGTGACTCTCCCGGAGGTTATGTGGCCCATGGCCTTCTGTCCTCGCAGAGGTCCCTTCATCCCCATCAGAGCAGTACCTTGCACTCTGTGCTCATACATGGCTCTGTGCTTGTTTTCTTGGAGGCTCATAAGACTGCCTGACAGCACACAGTGTTCCTTGGCTCACTTCTCGTCTGTCTTCTCACCCTAAAAATGTAAGCTTCTCAACAGTGGGGACTTGGCCAGCTTGTCATTGCCACCTCCCTGCACGTGGTGGGTGCTCGGGACCATGAGGTGAGCCGGATGGCTGAGGAATGTGGAGCCCACAGATGGGCAGAGGGCGGGTCCAGGTGTCAGAGGTCTGGGTCCTGCTTCCTGTGTTACTTGGTGTTCGCTCTGTGACCTTAAGCGAGTCCTTGTGATACGGCATACATATACTTTGGACCTTGTCTTGATGATCATGGAAATTAGAACTGAGGCAGCAGCATAAATTTACAGACAAGAGCTTTAATTGAGAAGGAAGAGAAAGTGGGGACCAGCCATGTGTGGTGGCATACATTTGCAATCCTAGCACTCTGGGAGGCTGAGGCAGGAGGATCACAAGTTCTAGTTCAGCCTGGACAATTTAGGGACTTAGCAAGAAGACTCTGTCTCAAAAATAAAAAAAGGTCTGGGGATGCAGCTCATTGCAGAGGCCTGGTTCATTCCCCAGGAGGTGTGTACCCTGTTAGACTCCGATCTTTATTTTTTTGAGGGGGGACACTGGGGATCAAACTCAGGACCTTGGGCTTGCAAGGCAGGTGCTGCGCCACTGAGCTACATCCCCGGCCCCTCCGATCTGTATTTTAGCAGGCATGGAGGTTTTATTATCTATGTTCAGCTGCCTCCCTTGTGACACAGCCGCAGACTCTGTCTCACCAGCAGGAATGGTTGGAGAAACAGACTTTTCATCTCTTTTTTTTCCTTTTTGAGACAGGGTCTCACTGTGTAGCCCAGGCTGGCCTGGAACTCATGGCACTCCTCCTGCCTCAGCCTCCCGAGGGCTGGGATTACAGGGGTGCGCCACCATGCCCAGCTTAAGAAAAGACTTTGAAAGCGTGACTATTCGTGGTAACAGACTCCTTCCTGTTGGTCATCTGGCTGGGTCTGCAACCTCAGTGGAAATTTTTCTTTGTGTCCCGCTTCTCTAGTCACTGGTCACTTTATCCCAACTGTCCTCCCTCGGCCCTGGAACAAGGGGGACAGGGCTTGGGTGGCCAGTGTGTGCAGGCTGCCTCCTAGGACAGTCTGCTCCTGGACCCGAGCTCAGGGCTGCCTGTCTGGGCCGCTCCCTGCCCTCCAGCCTGCCCGCATCTCCCCTCCACCTGCTGTTCCCTCTCCCCACAGATGTCAAGCCCTCCAACATCCTGGTCAACTCCCGTGGGGAGATCAAGCTCTGCGACTTCGGAGTTAGTGGGCAGCTCATCGACTCCATGGCCAACTCCTTCGTGGGCACCAGGTCCTACATGTCGGTATGAACAGCAGGTCCCATTCCGCAGGCTTCTCTGTGGGGTGGATGCAGAGCCACCATAGGAAGCCAGAGTCTTGTGCTGGGTGTCCGGCTGGGGGCAGAGGTGGCAGAGATGGTCCAGCAGTCTTCTCCAGGGTCAGCATCTGAGGAGATGACCTCAGCCTGTCACAGGCCTGGGTGCATAACTGGGGTTTAACCAATGAGAGACTGTAGCATCCCAGCTCCAGAGCAGGCTTCATCCGAAGAGACTGAATCCCAGCTGCCCTGGACATCTTCACCTGATTGTCCTCACTCCCACAGTGCCCAACACGGCCCCACCACAGACTGTGCCACCTCTCCTTTGCTGTTAGCAGCAAACAGCATCACTGCTTCTGGGGCAGAAACTGACTGTTTTTTGGTACCGGGGATCAAACTTGGGAGCTTGCTCTTGCAAGACAGGCGGGGGAACCACTGAGCTAAATCCCCGACCCAGAAACTGACTTTTTAATTCCTTCCCTGTGCTCTTAGCATGCAGTGGCTCCTCCCCACTCCTGACAGTTTTTGTGGTTCTCTCCATCCTGCCTCCTTCCTCCTCACTGCCTGTCTTCCACTCACCCAGCCCCATGCTCCTGTTTGGCTAGCACCCATCTTGTTCCCTATGCAGCTGGCTCCCACTGCCACCAGAGCACTTTGTGGTCGTCCCCCTGCCTGGAGCTCTGTGGGCAGAGCCAGGGCCACCGGTGTGTTTCTCATCCCTGGGGACTGGCATGGAATCAGCATGTGCAGGTGCTGAGGGAAATGCCTGTGGTGGGTGGGTACATGGATGGCGGAGGAGGCAGCAGCTGGCAGAGCTGAGCACGGGAGGTAGAGTGCATCTCCAGAGGGGGGCGCAGGCTGGGGTGGGAGAAGGCAGAGCCAGGAAACTGAGCACATTGGCACCCGGAATGGGCTCCTTTGAGCTACCAGGTGTTTCTTCTCGTAAAGATCATTGCTCCCATCCTGGAAGAACACAGCTCACCTCAGGGAAGTGATGTGACCCACCTTCGTGACCTCTCCACTCGAGTGTTGGAGCCAGCTGCCCCCTCCTCGATCCTTCCTGCTGACGCTGGTCCAGCACAGCACTCCCCCTTCGACCACCCCCACCCCTCTGCATGCCAGTGGCCCTTGGTGCCACTCTCATCACACCTTCCGTCTTCCCCTTTGCTGCTTCCCTAGATGATTCACACTTTGGGCCCTCAGTTGCCAGATGCCAAGTCCCAAATCAATGAATGGGGCTGGAACTTACGGTCCAGGGTATAGTGGTTGGGTTTTTGTGGTCAGTTCCAAAATAGCAACAAGTGCTATGGGAAAAGTTAATTTGAGGTCTAAATAAATGTCCTATTGTCAGAGTAAAGGTTTTTGTAGTGTCCTTGAAATACATGTGCTTCCTGAAATACTAATGCTCAGTAAAAATAATGCTTCTGCATAGTACTGTGTACTTTTTTCTCTGACTCTTCCCATGAATGTCAGCTTACCTTTGTTCAGGATTTGCAACATGACACACATTTTCATTTTCATTTGGTTTCACTACCTCAAGGCCAGTGAGCAGAGTGGGTATTTTGTCCTGTCCTTGTTATTGTTACTACAGCAGCCACCCTGTTTTACAGATGAGGAAACTGAGGCTCAGGACCCCACAGCTTCTAAGCCTCAGATCCTTTGTGCCTTTACCCATCACATCACCTCATTCATGGCTCGTGTTTCATAAGCTTTGTATGAATGTCATGCTAGGCTTTGGACAGGCAGCCCTGTATCTGAAAGATAGTGCCAGGCAGGGCAGAGATGCTGTGGGCCCAAGGCAGGTTACAGGGGAGTGAGCAGAGAGGAGGGGTCCAAGCCCCGAGCCAGCTAGGGTCTGGTGAACATGACATTTGGGGGCAACTGAGCAAATCCATGAGGCGAGGGCACCCCTGAAACAGGCTGGGAGCTGTCCAGGAAGGGACCTAATGCCTCAGCAGGCCCCCCAACCCCATCCTGGCTGGCCCAGGTGACTGACCTGTGTCTCCCTCTCTCTTGCAGCCAGAAAGACTGCAGGGCACTCACTATTCGGTGCAGTCGGACATCTGGAGCATGGGGCTCTCTCTGGTGGAGATGGCGGTTGGGAGGTACCCCATCCCCCCTCCAGACGCCAAGGAACTGGAGCTGATGTTTGGGTGCCATGTGGAGGGAGATGTGGCCGAGACGCCTCCCAGGCCCAGGACCCCTGGGAGACCCCTCAGCTGTGAGTGGCTGCTGTGCTCCTAGCTCCGGCTGGGGACCCTTCCTCTTAGGATCTGGAGCAGCTGATTCCCTGCACCTCCTGCCAGCCCTGCCTCTGTCTGTTTTGTTGTTTTGTTTTGAGGGTCTTGGTATGTAGTAGAGGCTGGCCTTTAACTCATGACAATCTTCCTGCCTCAGCTTCCCAGGTGCTGGGATTACAGGTGTGCACCATGCCCAGCTGTGCCTGTCTGGATGCCAGGCTGTGGCTGGGAGAGTAGGAAATCACTGCTGTACCAGCAACTTCCTGCCCTTTACTGAGTGCCCGCCTTGTTCTAGGTACTGTGCTTAGCACATAAGGTGCTTTTTAATCATGACATTTTAGGCCATTTTTTATTGATATAATTTACATAACATAAAATTGATAAAGTACAGAATTCAACTGGGCGTGGAGGTGCACATGGGCATTACACTTGTAAGGCCAGTACTCTGGGATCGTAAGTTTGAGCCCAGCATGGGCTGGAGATGTAGCTTAGTGCAGAGGGCCTGGGTTCAGTCCCTAGGAACACGCGCGCGCGCGCACACACACACACACTCAGTTCCGTGGTTTGTAGAGTATTCCTGTTGTGCAGCCATCACTGCTATCTCACTCCAGAACACTTCCACTGCCCCAAAAAGAGCCCCCATCCACACCAACAGGCATCACCAGCTTCCCCTGAGCCCGTCCCCTGGCAGTCACTAATCTCCTCTCTGGCTCCGTCAGTTTACTGAGCACTTTCTAATCTCAGTTACCATCTATTTGTGAGCACTATTATGAGCTCTGTTTTACAAGTGAGGAAACTGAGGCACAGAGCATTTGACTTGCCAAGTCCCACATCTGCCTGCCATGGTGATAAGCATGGTCTTTACCACGATGAGGTCCCCATGGGAAAGTTGGCGTGTGGAGGGGGAAAAGGAGACCTGTGGGGGCTGATGGCAGTCACTGGGGGTGCGGGGACTGGGGCTTCTGGTCCTGTTCTGTTGTCTCATTTGCTCCGCGCAGCATAAGGAAGGAGGGAGAGGCAGATGTATCACTGTCCATCTCTGCTTTACAAACTCATTTCTGTCTCAGCAGTCACCTGATTCGCTGGAGATCACAAATCTAGGATGTGGCCTTTGCTGGTCCTGTCTGTCGTGCTTGTCCTCCAGACTTCGTTCTTTGCCTCTTGCTGACACGTAGCCACTGGTCTGTTGATAAGTGCTCTCTTTTTCCTTTTTATGAAACCTGTAGCCTATGGAATGGACAGCCGGCCTCCCATGGCAATTTTTGAGCTGCTGGATTACATAGTCAATGAGGTAAGCACGGCTGGCTTCCTTGTCTGGGAGTTCCTGTGCTCTTCTTAGGAAACACCCATGGGTAAGCAGGCTGGGAAACCGAGAACTTCCCGCAGTGGGGTCCCCAGGATGCTTGGCTGTGGGATCGAGTGGCTGCTTTAGAAACGGTCAGTAAGGGGCCAGGGATTGATTTAGCTCAGTGGTTCTGTCGCTTACCCCGCAAACACAAGGACCCGAGTTCAATCCCTGGTACCAAAAATAAACCGGTCAGTCCCTTCCCGGGGATGTTTGGGCAGCTCCACATCCTTCCTCCTCCCAATGGATGGAGGAGCTGGCCTAGGGAAGGGCAGGGCTTAGCAGGAGGAGACAGGAGGGCCAGCCTGGGAAGGGATGGGTTCTGGCACACTTGGGAAGGAACTGGGGACCCCCAGCTAGCTGGAGTGTTAGGTACAGGGTAGCACCCCCTTCCTGTCTTCCTCGACTTTACCACTGCATGAACCAGACCCCAAAAGGCTCAAACAGATCCCCTGGTCCACTACAAACTCAACAGGGAAAAGCCTGGTTGGCCCTAGAGGTCACGGTAGCAAGGTTAACTGACTTCTCTGAAGTCTGCAGAACTCTCTAAGCCTCGTGGAGGCAGATGAGCAGCCAGGTCTGCTCCTTGCTGTGGAAGGAGTTAGGACGCCAACCCCAGCTCTACTGCTGGCTTCGGCTGCACAGTGGCTCTGGCAGAGCACTGTGCAGGTGCGAGGTGCCCAGGGGACACTTGCAGCTGCCTGTCCTAGTGAGCACTCACACTGCTCCTCAAGCTGCACACTCTCGTTCCTACTCAGTCCTTCTGAGCACAGCTGGCTGGGCCAGACTACAAGTGTCCTCTTCATGCAGGTGAGGAAACCGAAGCTCCCTGGTAAGCAGCAGCTTAGGGCCTTCGCGCCTGCTTTTTCTTCCTCACTACCTGTGACCCCAGGGCCTCCCTTCCAGGACTCCTGTGGCACACAGCCTGCCCTAGCCTAGAGTGGCTGCTGGCTTCCAGAGCACACCCTTCCTCCCCTCAGCAGCAGGACAGCCTGTAGGGCGCTCGGTCCTAAGAGCTGGGCTGTAGTCAACCTCAGATCAGAAGGACAAGGCCTTCATTCAGGGGAGGGGGTGAGGCCAGGCTTTTTGGTAGGAGGTGAGTGTTAGTCTTCTCTTTTTTGAGATGGGAGTTTCACTATGTTGTTCAGGCTGGCCTCAAACTCTTCCTGCCTCAGCCTCCCCCAGAGCTGAGATTATGGCTGCACACTGCTGCATCCAGCTAGTGTTTCTTTTTTGTTTTGTACTGGGGATCAAACTCATGACCTTGTGCTTGCCAGGCTAAATCCCCAGCCCCAAATGTTTCATTTTTAATCTTTTTTTTGGTACCGGGGATCGAACTCAGGTCCTTGTGCTTGTGCAGCAGGCGACGAAACCACTGAGCTAAATCCCTGGCCTTTCATTTTTAATCTTGAATCACCTGTTGATTTGGGGTTACACATCAGAGCAGTGACATCCTAGGGCCTTTTTTAGGTCAGCTTTTCCCAGCAAAGCACCACAGCTCCCAGCACACGTCATGTTAGTGGACTCGAGCTTCCCGGGCCCTTCAGTAGAGCAGTGCTGCCCGGTGTAGCCCAGTGTGGCCGCCATGGGGAAACAGGTCTGTGGCTGTTTGGGTCAGAGGTCCAAAGACAGCCTCAATTCTGCAGTGTACGGGCCTCCTCTTCCAGGCTCAGCCTTCTGTCAGATGATGTTTTATTAACTCTGTTTCTCCCTCTCCAGGCTCAGAAAGATAGGGGTCTTTGGGCTTATATCTGCAGTGTGGCTGAGCCTGAGCAGCCCTGGTGGTTTGCACATCCCCTAGCTGCTCCTGTTAGTAACTGCTGGTGACATTTCCATGGGAGCCACACTTAGTAGTCAGAGGTCGACAGGCACAAGCCCCTCATTTCATAAACAGAACTGAGGCCTACAGAGGAACGATGGTTTGTTCAGTCAGAAGACAGGTGGGTGCTGACATATGTGACATGATCCTAGTTCTTACTGTGCCCCGAGAAAGTTGAGACTTCCATCAGGGACAGCACTGCCCACAGTGGGGTGGGATGGGCAGGGGAGATGCTGGAGGGAAGGAGCCAGGTATTTCTCATACCTCAACCTGTGTTTGCAGCCACCTCCGAAACTGCCCAGTGGAGTCTTCAGTCTGGAATTTCAGGATTTTGTAAATAAATGGTAAGTCTGGGCCGGGGATTTTGTAAATAAATGGTAAGTTTCGCCACCTGCTGCACAAGTGCAAGGACCCAAGTTCGATCCCCAGTACCAATAAATAAATGAATGAATGAATGGTAAGTCTGCTCCTTATCTGGAAGGGGACCTGGAGGGGCTCTGGTGGAGCTCAGGGATATAGCACATGCCCGGCATGCATGAGGCCCTGGATTTGATGCCCAGCACCACAAATAGGTAGAAATAAAAATAATGCAGGGTGCTCTGGATTGGTCAGCCTTTCTGCCCCTTTCCTGTTTCCGCCAGCTTTGCTTCTGGTGGGCACAGCAGTGCCCTCTCCCCTCTTGAGTCCCTCCAGCTGCTGCCATGGCTTTCTTGCTGAGTGCCAGGAGTCAGGACTTTGATGATGACTGCTGCTCGTAGTGCTTGATCTATAGGGATTGGCTTTTGGGGGCCCAGGGGCAAGGTCTCCTTGTTTCTGGGCTGGTCCTCCAGCCTTGTGCTTAGGTGTGTGCCAGCACCCAGCACCTCGCTGGACACGGGACTGTGCAAGGCAGGAAGAAGATGCTTAGCACCCCTCTTCGGCATCTGCAGAGGGGCCCCAGGGAGCAGATAGCAATGTGAACTGGAGCTGGCACAGCCCAAAGCACTCAACATTACCTTTCTTCCTTCCAGCTTAATAAAAAACCCTGCGGAGAGAGCCGACTTGAAGCAGCTCATGGTAAGGCCGTTTATTTGATTCTCACCGTGCCTGCTCTGCACTCCATCTCTTCTTCCTGTCATCTGCCCAGGACTTCTGAGCCCGGGCTGCAGAATCCGCAGCACAGCTCCTGGTTCTGGACCAGTTCACAGGAGCTGGGGGACCCTGCCTGGGCTGCTGGAGTACACACGGGCCCTTGCTCTAACACTGACGGCTCCCGAGGCTGTCTTCTGGCCACCTCTATGTTCATGCCTTTGGTCTGTGCCTCTAATGGGCCTGTGCTGGCCCTGCTGCTGCTCAGCCGAGACAGGTTTCCCCACTTGGTGGCCTGTGTAACACCATTTCCTCTCCATGTTCTCCCACACAGGTTCACACTTTCATCAAGCGGTCCGATGCTGAGGAGGTGGACTTTGCAGGTTGGCTCTGCTCCACCATCGGCCTTAACCAGCCCAGCACACCGACCCACGCGGCTGGCATCTGAGGGGGGCCCAGCAGCCTCTTCAGGCGGTCCCCAAGCTCACTGCTCCGGCCTCTCCCATGCTTGTCTCCAGACGTGCATTTCACCTGTGACACAGGTTGCAGATACAGCATGTGCCAAGCTGTACTCGTGTTACTTTTAATACAGTCTTTATTATCACTGTCATTACCCCTAAGTGGATTGGCTTTGTGCTTGGGGCTGTTTGTGTGTTGACGATCAAACACATGCGGCTCAGCAGTGACACTAGGTGACTGTGGTGGTTGCTGATCCCGCTCCATCTGGCTGGCCTAGTCCCTGGTGTCTCTGGGTTCAGGGACACCTGGTGGCACTTCCCCCTGCCAAGCGCACCTTCTCTCAGCAGAGAGGGGCCTCCGAGTCCCATCCCTGGCAGCGCATGTGACGCATGCTGTGCTGCTGTGACACAAGCATCAGGAAGTGGACATCGTGTTATTTTTTGCTTTTGATGTAAAATTCAGGAATTTCCATCAAAATCTAGCCAGAGCCCCTCACTGCCATGAAAGCTGGGGCGTCACCAGTCTGTCCACCTGGTGACCTGTAGACTTCTGGTTGTGTTTCTATATTTATTTTTAAATATACTGTGTGGGTACTTAGTGGTGTACGTCTCTTTAGATTTGGATTAGTGTTTCTAAAATAGTGGAGTTATTTTGAATGTCACGAATGGATCAAGGCATTAAACGTGTCAGATTTCTACCTTCTCCCCAATCCAAATACCAATGCTATTGTAAACACTGTGTATAGTGCCTAAAAATTGTACGAAAATCCTTTTAATCACTTTAATCCAGATGTTTAACAAATCTAATCTCTTATTCTAATAAATATACTGTCAAATTTTAAAAGATATTTGTACTTCCGCGGTAGGCTTTTCAGTCTCTCCAGTGTACAAGGAAGAAATACTTCAGTCCCCAGCGGTGGTTGGGGGTGGGGGGGAGGACAGGACATGACAGGAAGACTGCGCAGGCCGGAAGGCAGGCAGGGCCACATGCAGGGCGCCCCAGGGAGCCCAGGCAGCACCCTTCTTGGTCCCCAGCACCACTGGTCTCACCTTTTCCTCCCGCCTCTTTATCCCAGGAGGTGAGGCCTGGGAAGAAGTCTGACAATCCTGAGGCCCTCATTTCCGTCATGCCAGCTCCAGCCCGGGCTCCGGGCCCTTTGGGATGGCGCCTCCTGTGGATGGCGGCCGGCAGGATCCCTGTGTGGAGCAGAGGTTCCCTTCTCACCACTGCACACTCCCTGCTCCTCCCTGGGAAGAGTGCGGTCAGCGCTGGCCATGAGGCCCAAGAGGTGGCAGTGGAGCCTGAGAGCGGAACTGTGTCCCATAACCACTGTGCCTGCTCCGCTGAAAAATGATTCTAGAACTTGGGGAACATGTGAACTGCCAGATCGGTTTGTCTGCCCTTTTTCTTTTTTGAAAGAAAGGGTAGACTGTAGAAAACCAAAGCCTATGTGTATCTAACCAGGCATTGTGGCACATGCCTGTGATCCCAGCACTCAGGAGGGTAAGGTAGGAGGATCGCTGCCAGTTTGAGGCCAGCCTGGGCTACACAGAGAAAACCTGTCTCCAAAAACAAAATTTAAGCCGATTTCATTTTAGATGAAAAACAGAACTTTCGTACTGTCCTGCGTAGGTAGCTGCACTCTGGAGCTGCCAGAGCGTGGGATCCTGCCGGGATTTAAAGACTAGCCAGCTGTTCTAAGTCAAGTCTAACCTACACCTTTCCAGCACACAAACATTCAGGATGAGTTAAAACCCCATACCCTACGTCCTGGTAACGAGAGGATGCCACCCATACTGAGAATGTCTTTATTTAAATGAACAAACTGGACCAGGGGCAGTGGCACACGCTTATAATCCTAGCTACTTGGGAAGCTGATGCTGGATCGAAAGTTTAAGCACAACCTGGTCAACTAGGGAGACCCTGGTTCAAAATAAGGACCAGGCATGGTGGCGCACACCTGTAATGCCAGCACTTGGGAAGCTGAGGCAGGAGGATTGCCATGAGTTCCAGGCCAGCCTGGGCTACACAGTGAGTTTAGGGCCAGCCTGAATTACAAAGTGAAACCCTGCCTCAAAAAAGTTCTATTCTCTTTGATTATGTACTTCTACTAAACTTTAAAAAAAAAAAAAAAAAAAACGGGCCGGGGACATAGCTCAGTGGTCCAGGTTCCATTCCACCACCATTAACAAACAAAATGAACAAACTGCATTCCTTTTAGGGAGGATTAGTGTAACCTGGTTATCTAACACCAGGATTTGAGTGCTTTCTTACTTGGTGTCTTTTGAAGGATGTTTAAAATTTTCTACTCACAGCTGGGTGTTGTGGTGCAGGCTAGTAATCTCAGCCCTCGGGAGGCTGAGGCAGGAGAACAACTGCTGTGAGCTCAAGGTCAGCCTGGGCTACATAGTGAGAGCCTGTCTCAAATAATTAACTCTTTACTCATATCTAAAACTTACATTTTGAGTCAGAAAAGTTTTCCAGTAATTTTTACCCAGAATGATTGTATTTGGATCCTAGCATCAGTCTTATGATTTGCCCTTGTGAGAGATTCCATCCTCAAACCTCCTCCTACTCACATACTTGTAATAGCTGGGCTTTAAATGGTACCTCGTTAGCACCTTAGAGCCACCTGAGAGCCTACTAGAGCAGGCAGAACATCCTCACTTTACCTGTGGGAAAGCCACAGCTAGGAAGAGGAGACAAGTGACCTCTTCCCTCAGTGGCACAGCGGGAACTGAGCCAGCTCTTCCAAAACCACACTTGTATTTTATATCAGATCCCAAAATGTACACATGGATGTAATATATTCCAAAACTACTTTTGGCAGGTTTCAAACAGCATACTCTTTTACACCCTGCAGTTTCCTGTAGGAGCACCTTACAATGACTTTAATGAAATGCTGACTGGCAAAATAGAAAAATGTGCTTATGTTTTCTTCTGAAGAGCTATGTAAATTCTATGGAGGTTCTTGGGTGTTTTACTTGCTTTTTCTATTGCTTGGGGAGGGGACTTCATAGAATTAAGTGACTTAACTATTGAGTAGAAAAGGGACAAGATACAGAAATTAATCTCAACTTTTTTTGTTGTTGTTTTGAGACAGGGTCTCAGTGTGTATTCAGGCTGGCCTTGAACTTGTAGCAATCCTCCTGCCTCAGCCTCCGGAGTACTGGGATTACACACATGTACCACGCCTGGCTAAATCTCAACTATAAATACAAGTCTCAACAACTCTTCCTCTGTAGCTGTTATCGCTTTATTGTAAGAATTCAACCCATAGGCATTTTTTTCTTTAATAGCACATTTCTTCTCTAAGGGTCAGAAGCAGGTCTGCAGCCTCCCGCTGTTCTCAGAGGAGGAACTGCTGCTTTCTCTCTCCATGTCTGGAAGCCAGCAAGCTCCAGGACTGCTGCTTACCTGTAATTTATCTGAGCACTTTCCCCAGCCAGGCGTCACACAGCACACAAGTAGTGTGTATGTGTGTGTTTGTGGGGGAGTGTTCCCATGCCTGAGGTGGCAGCAGCCTGTGCACTCTGCCCTTCCCCTTGATGTCTCACTCAAACTGCAGCCTAAATCTGCTCACAGGGCACAACGACAGCAAACAGCCCTCAATTGGTTTTCTTAATAGAAACATTATCCCTGGAAAGGCCAGCTTGTATTTGAACTTTGCCCTTTTGCAAACACCAGCCTTTTTAATAGTATTTCAGAAGAAATTTGTTTTTAACGTGAAACACTGAGTCTGACCAGATTACAGACACTGTACTATCCAAATGGCTCTATGTTAAGACATCATATCTCTCATTTTCCATGCCACTGTTTTTCTCCTCAGTACCAGGGATTGAATCCAGGCCTGACATACGAGAAGCAAGTGGTCTACCACTGAGCTACCTGCCCAGCCCAGATTTTCTGTCACTAATTTTCACACACCATTCCGAAGCCCAGGTTATTATGGGTTATGTGGCCACCTGTGCACTACACGTCCTCCTACAGATCTTACTTCTTTCAAGTAGGCCAAGGGCCCATGCAAGATGACCTCTACGAAGAAAGTGTCTACAACTCAGAGATTTAATTTCTGTAACTAACGCAGGCACCTGTCCCCTTCAGGAATCTGATTCTTCTTCTTCCTCTTCCTCCATCATGTGGCTCCTCATGCCCAGCTCCAGCGCAGTCTGGTTGATCGATGCTTCATTGTCTACGTGCACCAACATCTGTGTTGCCAAAGACACTGGAGATGAGTAAGGAAGACACTGGCCTCAAAGCAGCAAATTCTTTTAAATACTTTTAAAATTTTTAGGTTTATTAGTCCATTTTTTTTTTTTTTTTTGGTACCAGGGATCGAACTCAGGTCCTTGCACTTGTGCAGCAGGCAGCAAAACCACTGAGCTAAATCCCTGGTCCTAGTCCATTTTTTTTGCAGTACACAGTGATTACATTCATCATGGGGAGTTGCTACAAATACATAGACACATCTTAATTCCTTTTTTGCCCACTATCCATCTGCTCCCTCCATCTCTTGATCCCCTTCCTGAAGGCTGTCTCCATCTTTTTTTCCCAATTCTTTTTTTCATCTCCTCTCCCTCCACCTCTTGTTCCCCTTTTCATTTGAAAAAGATCTTCCCTATTTCCTCTTTTATTTTATGCTGTTTACATTTTGGGCCTCTCATATAAGAGAAAGCACCTGATATTTACATTTGTGGGTCTGGTTTATTTCACTTAACACTATGGTCTCAAGGTGCATCTTTATTTATTTTTTTGGCACGGGGCATCAAACTTGGGACCTTGCATTTTCGAGGCAGGCGGCAGAATCACTGAGCTAAATCTTTGGCCCCAGGTGCATCTATTTACCTATGACTATTTCCTGTGTAAACAACTAATACAGAAGGCTGGGGATTTAGCTCAGTGGTTTTGCTGCCTGCCTCACAAGTGCAAGGTCCCAAGTTCAATCCCCGGTACCTAAACAAAACAAAACTAATACAGAGTAGCCAGCTAATTAAACTAGAAAATTCTAATCAGAGTCTGCAGCCTACCATGCTCAAGGCTCTGGGTTTAATCTCCAGCACCTTGGCAGTTCCCAGAATCCTTGGGGTTTGGTAATGTGCTTTACCACAATTTTTGACAAAAGCAGGAAGGAGCAGAGCAGGCTTTGCATTCCCTCCCTGGGCTTGTACTTGATGAAGCTTACATCCTGTGACTGTTCAGCTGCAGAGTGAAAAGAAACCTTCCCATCCTCTGCTGTAGAATTGATCATCGATCGGAGGGCCAATTCTTCAACCTAGGAAAAGAAGAGTTAAGGACACTTTCCTTGGTACAGTATTTCACTGGGCTAACAAAGAAATTCCTTGGGATGCTGTAAATAGCAGGCATCATGGTAAGAGGGAAGACTATCATGGCTGTGCTTCCGGGGGCCAGGGGGACTCTTAGGCCTTACTTGTCTTATTTATTTTTGGTACTGGGGATCAAACTTAGGACCTGGTGCTTGCGACGCAGGCCTGGCGCCACTGAGCTACATCATGGGCTCTTCCATTTTTTTTTCTCAGTACTCCTGGCCCTCCCTGCCTTTTAAGGAGAGAAGCAAAGACTTAAGGAGCCCCTTTCCCTTGGACTATCCAGGTGTTCCAGTTAAGCCACAGATTCCATTCTCCCAGACCTAGCAGCTTCCAGAGGATATGCCATTAAAAAGACAGGTGTAGCTGGAAGTGGGGGTGCAAACCTCCTCTGGGAGGCTGAGGTAGGAGAATCTCAAATTTGAGCCCAGCCTGGGCGACTTAGTAAGCCCCTGTCTCAAAATCAAAAATAAATAAAAAGATATAGGGATATAGCTCAGTGCAAAGGCCCTGGGTTCAACTTCCCCAGTGTGGTGGGGAGCCAGGTGTCATTTTCTGGCTCTACAGAGCCATGGATTTCCTAGGTCTACACTCGTTTTCGGTAACGAGAAAGTGAAGCAAGAAGAAATGGAGGTATTTCCTGGAGCATGAGTGATTCTCGGTTTTGGAGGGCATCATCCAGGTATGTCAATCATCAGTTATTTGTAGGGCTACTTCTGCATATCCAGGCATTATTACTCCCCAAGGGAAAAACGCTTATTATTTTGACATGTCACAGTTACAGAACACTTTTCAGTTTACAAAGGGCTTTTGTAATCCTCAGGTCAGTTGGATTTAAAGATCCGGAATAAGGATGCCGATGGGGGATTACCATTATCGTGTTACAGAGGCTGAAGTGCCCACGGGTATGGAGAGTGACCCCGGTGGGCCTAACTCCTACTCCTCAACTCCACGAACTCAACAACAGCTCCAAAAGCTCCTGGGAATTCTACGCTTTGGGCCAAAACTCTCCCAGGGGTCAGTGGCTTCCTTCCAACAACGGAAGGATCTGAAAAGTCCTTTCAAGCCGGGGAACATGAGAGCCATTTCAAGCGACAATGCAAACTAGTAAGCAGGGGCTGCAGAGAGGGGCGGGCGTGGAGGTCTGGGCGGCCTCCGGAGAGTGCACGCCCTTGACCCGCGGGCCGTCAGCTTTCGAGCAGCCGGCCTGAATGGAGGCGCGTCAGGGACCACACTCGCCAAACAAGATTCCCGGGTTTGGGCCCGGATCTCTAGGTTCAGAGGGGTGGGGCCTAGTCGTCGCGAAGCAACCTCCCCAGCGGCTTTAGCTACTCATTTAAACTGCTAGATCGGCGCCGCGAGGGCTAGATAAGGCCTAGCGGAACCGGCGGCAGCAGGCAGACGCCGCGGAGGGCTGCGCTCGGGAAGAGGGTCGCGCAGGAGGAATGGAGGACGGCAGGGTCACCTTGAGGCGGTTCAGCTGGTCGTGTAGGGCCGCTTTCAACCGTAGCAGCGTCTCCTCTTCCTTGCGTAGCTCCTGGAGCCGGCTCAGCATAGTCTCGGATCACGCCGCCGCCCTCCGTACCCCGGTGCTCGCGCCCAGTGATGACGTGACCACCACTGTCTCACAGAAACGCGCGGAGGTGGGGCTAGCGGCCATGTTGAGAAAGGCAGAAGCGCTTCCTGCCGGCGCGTGGTGTCACCGCGTATCTGCGTTGGAGGCTTGCGGAGGGCCCACTTTCCAGGTGACAACATCTGGACACGAAGTGAAGTCTCCTAAAGCATCTGCTATGGAACCTGGTAGCTGTCTCCCTTAGAGAAAATGGGCACACTCCAGAGCAATAGTGGTCCATCCCACTTCCAATAGACAGCTATATTTTTTGTTTTTGGTACCTGGGATCGAACTCGGGTCCTTGCGCTTGCGCAGCAGGCGGAGAAACCACTGAGCTAAATACCCGGCCGATAGCTAGCTTTGATTTAGAAAGCCTGCAGAGGATGTGAAAGCAGGCATCAAAACCAGCTTCCAGAACCAAACTCAAGGACCTGAACCCAGTTAGGCAGACTCCTAGTGGACGCCCTCCCCTCCCCCCAACTGGCTTCCCTACCCTAGACTGCGGTAAGCTAATGGCCTTGCTAATTAGACTGCCACTGTCAGGTTCTTACTGAGGACCGCACAGACCTCGCCCTGGAAAAGTGAAGATGCTGACCAACTTGCATTTTAGTGCCGAGTCAAGGGTTCACAGCAAAAGCTGGAGCTAATTCTAGGGTGGAAGTTTCACAAGAGGGGACAAAAGCCCTAAAATAGTTTCGGGAACACTTCATAAGCAGTTCCCCAAGCCTGGTTAACCAACCTACCTGCAAGGCAAAACTAAAATATCCTTGAAAACCTTTAGGACTTTTTCAGCCCATGGGCATGCTTGCTAAAACAGTTATAACTTCTCCAGTTATTGCCTATCATCAGGTGACACTTCTTGAGTACCATCGGATTTTTTAAAGGTGGGGTGGGGGGACTGAACTCAGGACGTTGCACTTGCCAGACGGGCTGTGCCGCTGAGCTACACATCCCAGCCCAACCACTGGATCTTACCAGCACCTTCAAACAACATGCAACTGCACCCTATCAAATCTTCATGAACTTCAACTCTCGCTGGCTAAAATTTGAAAAGCCTTTTACATTTTATGGAGTTATTTACAAATCCCTCTTCCATTCAAATGGATGGATCAAGTATGCATCTAAGGTTCCATTTTGTACCAGGAGTACAGTATGGGACAAATTAAAGGCTATGGCAGGAAGATCCTGAATGAGGTTAGTGTCCCCTACCCCACTGGATTTGGAAGAGAACAAAGTATAATTTACAAAATGTTCTAATGAAGATTCACACAACAGCTATGTTTCTCACTGCCTCTTTGACCAAGTCTTTATTCAAAATAAACTGTCCAATTTTATGTCACCTGTATGGGATAGAGATTTTGATTTTAAGAGTTTATGCAGCAGGCTTCTTTTCTTCAGCAGGTTTCTTTTCAGCTGCTGGTTTCTTGGTAGCTGCAGGCTTCTTGGAAGCTGCAGGCTTTTTCCCTAAAGGCTTCTTCAAGGGCTTCTTGGTACCAGCAACCTTTTTTCCTTTTTTCTCTTCCACGGGCTTCTTGGCTTCAACCTTCTCTTCCAATTTGGCTGCCCGTGCTGCTGCTTTATCCAGATGGATTTTGTGCTGCAACAAATTAGACAGAAAATGTAAGAAAATTTAAAAAAAAAACACAAAAAACTTTGACCTATCACAGTAAAAACAAATGAACACCTACATTCCTGGCCTGGCGAAGAATGGTATTCCGGCGCATGGTCTTTGCATATGGGTTCAGCTTCAACATGATCCTCAGGTTCTTCAGAGGATTCTTCTTCAGGACTCTACGATGAATCTTCTTGCTATAAAAAGGTAGACAACAGACATTTAACTTATATTATACACATTACAGAAATAATTCTGCGACAAGAATTACACTGTAAATGTCAAAACTTTACCGTGGTGCCCGGAGGGCTCTTTGGATCTCTGGACTCTTCAGGATTCTGCTCAGGTCTGTATTGATCATTTTGTGCATAGGCAGGCTGAAGGAGAGATTGACAATGGATGCTGAATTCTGTTCTCACAGAGCTGACTGAAGAACATAAACCTTAACAGAGTGTTTAAACCATTTAATTCTCCAGAATTCAGTAAGAATTTTCCCTACGCTTCTCATAAAACAGCAGCTGAATACTGTGGAATATTTACAACATGCTGCAGCATCCTGCTTATATCATAAATGGAATTGTGAGTAAAACACAATCCAGTTAAAGTATGCAAACCACTTCTGAATGTCCATGTACAGTTTAAACACTTACATTCTCTGTATGAATATGAGGAACACTCACTTATAGTTACTCTTGAGGGAAGCAGCTTTACGCCAAGTGCCGTACAACTCATCTAACTTCCGGAAAGCACTTTCAGTCCAAATGCAGAAGCGCCCCACATGCCCACCAGGAGCAAGTTTCAAAATATTCAGTTTGCTTACATCAAGCAGAGTAATGCCTTAAAAGGAAAGGAAAATCAGGAAACTTGTACTTCAGAAGAATCACAAATCATCTCTATAGCCTAAGTGCTACATAAGCTACGTAGGCACTATATTAAGTATGAAATTTCAGTAGTCCAATTCATTTAGCCAGATATCAGAACTTCCACAAAATCACGGATTTCAGAAACACGGACCATGAAGTGGAATTCATCATTATAAAGGCCGAGTGTGCTGGTACAGTAAAAGTCGGCAACATACACAAACAGTGTAAGAATTACCAGGGATATTTCTGAAGGCCTTGATGATACCATTGTCTTCATTATAGATGATGCAAGGTCCCCTGCGCTGGATGCGACGGCGGTTTCTCATCTTGCCCTTGCCAGCTCTCATTCGCTGAGAGGCGTAGACCTACAAAGCCAGCAGTTTTTTGAGTACTAATGCCTGATCCCTGCAGTTGATTGTCATGGTTAAAAAGCCCTCACATGTGGCATACTAGGGCTTGGCTATAGTTGTCCCTCCCTGTCTGCTAGTTCCACATCCCGAAGCCAACCCAACCCAGACAAGAAACATTCTGAATGCGTACACACACTTTTGTCATTATTTTCTAGACAATATAGTATAACCCACCGAAGTATAAATGTGCACATTAAACCTACCTTTTTGATATCATTCCAGGCCTTCAGTTTCTTCAGAAGCAAAACGGCCTCCTTGGTCTTCTTGTAACCTTCAACTTTATCTTCTACAACCAAAGGAAGTTCAGGAACTTCCTCAATTCGATGACCTTGACAAAGCCAATTGAAGATTGAGCTGGTTATCTGAAGGCTCTTGAAAAATTAACACGTGTATAAACCACAAAAGCAAAACATACAAACTAAACTGCCAAATCAGAATTTCCACAATTATCATGTGTTTCAGAAACACGGACCAATTAAGTGGAATTTCATCATTTTGACAGTTTAAACTGCCACATGAAACATAAAAGGGGTTTAAAAAGAAAGTTTTCTGCCAGGGACTTAGCTCAGTGGTTTCGCTGCCTGCTGGGCAAGCGCAAGGACCCGAGTTCGATCCCAGGTACCAAAAAAAAAAAAAAAAAAAAAAAAAAAATACAACCGAGTCACTATTTGAAGACTTTCCCAGTTATGATGTAGCTGATATTCATCAATGACTGATTTGTTAAGTTAGACTGAACCAGAACCTGCACTTAATAAAGAGATATGTATTTATTGCAGTGCTGGGGATGGAACCCAGAGCCAAATGCTCTGCCTATGACCTATATCCCTGGGCTATTAACGGACCCTTTACAGGACGCTCTGGGCTGAATAGTTACCACTGTAGGAGAAAGAATATCACCAACCTTTTGACATGACCAGCGCTGGCAAAGCTGAGGCAGCCAGGGCAGAGCAGATGGCATATCGTTTCTGAGTTGTGTTCACTCTGCGGTGCCAACGTCGCCAGGTTTTGGTTGGTGCAAACATGCGGCCTCCTCGACACATCTATTTTCTTAGTTAAGAACTGCACTTAACAAAGCTTAGGAGTTAAAAGCCCATGTCTTGCTCAGTAACAATTTTCGTCAACCTTCTGTACCAACTTACTGACAGCAGGCAACTGTCGCTGATAACAGAGTAAGACGCAAATTACGACATCATTGCAAGCAAAACATCTTTATGGGAAGCCCTTAAAAACCCCAGGATTCCACTTCTGCCTAGAGTGGTGTTTACCTGGAACACTTAGTATTGTGGACACAGATGTAGCATACATTAATGAATAAACCCAGTCCAGTCTGCTAAACTCCGTAAGTGCCAAACCAGCCCAGGTAATGAAACAAAGGATACGTTTCCGAAAGCACCCTGGCCAGAACGGTGGGTCCCACCTCCTCGAACCCTTGGAATTCGAGCCACAGCTCTGCCCGTCCCCCAAGACTCAGCACTGGTCTGGTGACCTAAAATTAGGAAATTAAAAGGCTTTAGCTACCTTTAAAAAGTTTTGGACCAATTCGATGACTTACTATCCATGGTAACAGGCAGTATCAGAATATCCAAGAAAATCATGTGTTTCAGAAACACGGACCAATGGAGTGGAATTTCATCACTACTGTAAAGCAGCTCTTAAAAGACCAACCCACAGAAAATGCAAATCCATACCTGCCAATTCGCTGACAGCATAGGGCTGCCTGTTGTTTTTACGCAAGTTGGTGTGAACAAAGTTCACAATATCTGGTCGAATGGGAGCCTTGAACACAGCAGGCAAGGTGACATTTTTGCCAGACGACTCCCCTTTTTCAGAGTACACTGATATCAGGGGACGAGCACAAGCCTTGGGGGAAAAAGATATTTATATTGACAAGCAATGTCAAAGGCAAACTCTTGGGGCCAGGGATTCAGCTCAGTGGTTCCAGTGCCTGCCTTGCAAGCACAAGGTTCCGAGTTCAATCCCTGGTACTCCCCTCCACCCAAAGGCAAACTCTTTCACAGGCCAGCAATACCATCAAATGTTACAGAAGAGCCTAATTTTGTGAGGCAGACATTTAAAGCTGAAGGACCAAAGACTAAGTTACAAATTGTACCAATGGGCTGTATTAGTACTTCAATAAACTCTTTAAAACACTTAGAATGTCAAGCTCTTCGGCATAATTTTTAAAGACAAAACTCTATCAAAACATTGACAAGCAAGTCTTACAAAATGTTGTTTATCAGGGTCCACTGATCAAAAAACTTCCATTCCTGTCCTCTTATCCCATGGAAGTACATCTCCAGAAGCTTACTAGTAAAAACTCATTTTGTTACTGTCCAACTCTCTCCCCACGCTTCTCATTGAGAGTAAAACCAAAATCCTGATGGCATACACAATCTGCTCTTCTCTTTGATGTCATCTCCCATACTTTCTCTTCCAATACTTTTCTTTGAGGTGGAGACTGAATCTAAGCATTCTACCATTAAGCAACACACCAGTCCTCCCTTTCTGCCCAAGTCAGCAAGTCTTCATCTGAAGGCCTCCCCATCATCATTCTTTACGCCACTTTCTCTCATCACTGTTTAAAACTGAATCTCCGCCTTCTCTCCAATTCCCCAAGTTTTAGTACAGCTGAACATCACTATGTATTTAGTCCAACTCAGCCGTGATCCACGGAGGACAGCACTATCTCTTCTGCCCACAAACTCCTCTGGCACTGCACACTGTGTAATACACATACGGACGCTGTACACAGAAGAACTCTACATGTAACAGCCGTCCTGTGCGCTAGCTGAGGGTTCAAACTCTTAGATACCAAGTCCAACCACTTAAGTGAAAGGAAACCAGGAAGTTTTTGCAGAAACGATTCTAAAGCTCGGCAGACAAGCATTCAAAAGCAACGTATTAACAATGATCTTTTCTAACAAAGGTTCTGCCTTGAAAGAAAATGCATCTTCCTAGACTGCACACGAATATGCACGGTCCAGGCAGCCTCTCCAATTCGGTCTCAGGCCCCAGAGTTTCCGTTTCCTGCACAACCAAGTTTTCTTTCTTTTGAGACAGGGTCTCGCTATGTAGCTCAGACTGGCCTTGAACTCACTATGTAGCCCAGGCTGGCCTCGAACTCGTGTCAATCCTACTGCCTCAGCCTATAGAGTGCTGGGATTATAGGCGTGCGCCACCATGCCTGGCACAGCCAAGTTTTCTAAGTTCCGAGGCCAGCTAAGATCCTAAAGGTCGCCGTCAGAGGTAATGGGCTCCTCCAATCGCTTCCAGGCAGCCCGGGCCAGGTATACCCACGTTGCGTCTAAGATGGCTGCCACATCTTCCCACAAACCTGCTCCCCGCCAGCAGCAAAAACATTTGGCGCTCATCTCCTCCTCCTGCTCGCGTCCTCGCCTTCAGACTTTATGTCTTGAGCCCTTCATCCTTCCCTACTGGCCCCGGGGTCTTGGAAAAGTCCTGCCAACCAAGTGAGGACTCACCATGGCGGGGAGAGGAGAAGGCCACGCTCCTCTCGACCCGGCGGCTCCCACAGGAAAAGGAAGCAGCTACCGCTACCACTCTATATGTATCCTTCACCTCGTTTCCCCCACCCGGCCTCGCCTCAGAACATACATAGAAACACGAAATAACTCCCTGCCCATCTCCAAAAACAAAAAATGTTGTGCTATTTCTTTATGTGTGAAAAAGTACACTATTTATTTTCTGCAATGCTAAATAATAGTGCTTAGAAAGGAGGGACTCCTTTTCGCGGACTAATCCGCAAGGGGCGTGACCAAGTCTCGCGAGACAAATTACTCGTTCCTCCAATTTCTACCTTATTTTAACTTTTTTTCTGATACAAAAGGGAAGACTATTGGGACAAGAAACATACTTGGGTGTTCTCAAAAAAGTTTAACTTTGCGGACAAACGGAACGTGTCCGTTGTGAAAGTAGTTCCGGCTTGGCGGGGTCATGGCCTCTGACGTCGGCGTCCGGGCGCTCAATTCAGTTTGGCGATTCCGGACCCGACTGAGGCTGGGGAGGCATGTGGGCGCGAACGAACCTAGCGACGGAGGAGTTTTACGCTCGCCTCCTGCAGTGAGTTGTCGTTCTTACTGTGCCCGCGGTCCCGGAACAGCCCTTGTCCTTCTGGATGTCGGGGTACCTGCCCCAGGGCTTTTGCCACGCCCCGAAGACTGGCGCTTTGCCCGCTTTCCAAGTCTGGGCGTTGGAGAGGGGGCGGCTCTCTGTTGGGTGTGAGGTTAGCCTGGGGAGGCCTCCGGCAAAGCGACTCCGTTATCACCTAAGGTGCCAGGTGACAAGTGTTCCTGGTGCATGTCAGCTTCTCGCTTCTTTGCCTGTAAATCCTTCTCAGTCCTCTTTTCTTAGTTTTGTTGTTTGTTTCGAGACAGGGTCTTTCTATGTAGTCCAGGCTGGTCTTGAACTCATTATGGAGCCCAGTCTGGCCTCGAACTAGCAGTGATCCTCCTGCCTCTGCCTCCCAAGTGCTGGGATTACAGGCTTGCACTACCACGCCTGGCGACAAAGGGACTCTTTGTCTAGGAGTTTTTGCACACAAAAATGACCATATCTCAGCCAAATTGAGATCAACCTATGGGATAACAAGCAGGAAAGTTTGGCTCAGAACTTATCCTATAGGAACTCAGGTATGCACCATTAGTTGTAACTTTATACAGAGCAGTGACATTCTTTAGAAGAGATATGAGTATCTTGTTCCTGGACAAGAAAATCCTGCCAATCTAACCAGGCCTTTTGTTTGTTGAGCCTCCAGTGCCCTGGCCTTGGCCATGGTGTTCTTCAGTGAATCTCCTCTGGCTGCGTGTTCTGTCTGTAACACTCTGTCAGACCACTCGCCACCTCCCCTCCCCTTTGGGGGCCAGTGCCACTCTGCAAAGTTTCCATTTTCCCACAGGGCCCTGCTCATCCTCAACATCATGTTTTACAGAAACTGATTGTTTAGATCACTGCTGGGTACCTCTTGTCAGGTTAGCAAAATGACACCAAATCCTTAGAAAATGGGACCTACACTCAACACTCAACCCTCAACCCTCAACCACACGAGTGTAAAGGGCTCATGATTCATTCTTCTCGGATCTCTTATCTCCCTGCTTCAGCTGTATAGCCCAGTCTGGCCTTGAATTGAGGCGATCTTCCTGCCTTGGCCTCCTGAGTGCTGGGACTAGACCTGGCTGGCTCATTGTTTTCAATTGCCATATAGTTTGTCATTCCATGATTGTAGTGTTTATTTGATCAGTTCCCTATCGATACAGCTTTGTTTGGACTCTGTAGTTCTCAGTTATTTCATGGTGTTATTAGTCTCTCTTTCCACTGATGAGCACCAAAAGTTTGTCTCTTAAAGCTACACATGGGACCTCAAAGTCAATACCACAAGACTGAATTAATCTTTCTTCCTAACATACTACTCCTGAATTCTGTCTTTGAGTTAAGATTTCCAAATCCTAGACCCCTTCTTTCCTTCTCTTTTCACTGCCCCACATTCCTTTTCAGTTCTCTTGAACTCACTATGGAGCCCAGGCAGGCCTCGAACTAGCATCGATCCTCCTGCCTCAGCTCCATCTATACTGTCAATCCTCTGAAGCACTGTAGATTATTCACGGCTGTTGCCCTGGACTCCACATTATTACCCTCCGCATTACAGTCATAGAGATCTTCCTCGCTGAAGATCTTGTATTAAGTTTTTCTGGACTTGCTGAATAAAGTTTGAGCCCTGTAGCTAAATGTCCACCCCAGCTTCCTACAGTGCTTGTCTCTGACTCAGTGACTATTGCTTTGCTCCTTGGACTCCAGGCAAGACTGTGCTTCTGTTTGATACCCTCAATATCTACCAACAATGTCTGGCCTATAATACATAGGATTGTTGAATGACTGATTAAGTAATATTGTTGAGTTATATATAAAAGACAGAATAAGTCACAATATTGTGCTATATGGCATAAGTAACTCAGCCACAGGCCTACGCTTCTCTTTCTACCGTAGCAGGTCAGTCATATGGTAGATCACAGACAGAGATGCTGTCCTCAAACTGTTGTATTGGGTTCCTTCAGTCACTAGAGATTGTTTTCTCTTTCAGGCTAGTTGTGCGTTTTTGTATTTAGTATGCTAATGATTTATGGTTCACAAGCTTCGGGATCCCTATTTTAAAACTTTCTTAAATGATAATTATTAAATGACATCCTGGAATGTTTTGCTTACTTTTTCTTTTTTTGAAACAGGGTCTCACTATGTAGCCCAGGCTGGCCTTGAGCTCACAGCAAGTGCTGGGATTATAGGCATGCGCCGCCGTGTCCAGCTCTTGCTTACATTTTAAAAAGGAAATGTTCGACGTAATAGAGTTTACTGATTGTTTTTAGTAACAGCTCATGAAACGGAGGATAAATGCTTCCAACTTAGTTATAGAAGTTTAAGACCTGAGACCCTTAAGTAACTTCTCAGGAGTTACCCATTGATTCAGTGGTAGATCAGAACCCAGTCGGTTTTACTTTCTCAGAGTCATGGGGCAGATTATATTTTAATATTAATTCAAGGGCCGGGGATTTAGCTCAGTGGTTTTGCCGCCTGCTGTGCAAGCACAAGGACTCCAGTTCGATCCCCGATACCCGCCCCCCCCCAATTAACTTGTTCAAAAGACAGAAGAGTACAGATAGGCAACCTAATTTCCTGTTGCTTCTAAAAGATCCTTGTACCTGGCCAGGGATTTAGCTCAGTGGCACCGTGCCTGCCTCGCAAGTGCAAGGTCCTGAGTCCAATCCCTGGTACCAAAAAAAAATCCTTGTATCCAATTGTGAGCAGCAGCCTATTAAACTCTGCCACAAGTCCTTTTTCTCTTTTCTTAACCTGTCTCCCCCCCTTTCCATCTATGCCTGAAGGTCTCTGTAGGTAGTTTGCCTTTTCTTTTTCTATTCATACCATGCGGAGGGAAAGTGCTGGTTAACCTCTAAGTAGCAAGGCTGGTACTGTGGCTCTATTTTTCACATGTGGTTCTACATTTTAGGAAATTTAATGAAGAAAAGAAGGGAGTCTGTAAAGACCCATTTATCTATGAGGTATGAGCAATTTATTTGGTTTTAAAATATAACTCAATCCTAAAAGTGTGGGGTTTTAAGTTGGGTTTTTTGAAGTTTATTTATATATCATCAAATGTCACCCTTTTAGGGTACATGTCTGTGAATTTTGACAAATATACATTTAGTCTAAATATTTTCTCATTTGTCTTCATGGTCAACCCTTTCCCCTCCCCCTAGTTTCTTGGAAACTACAAACCTGTTTTCTTTACAGTTTTGCCTTTTCTAGAATGTTATGTAAATAAAATCATATAGCTTTGTGGGGCTGCATTTGACATTCATTTATGTTGGCAGTGCCCACAGCTGGCATGCAGAGCCCGCTCTATCGGCATGTGAGCCAGGTGTATGAGTTGTTTTTTCTAAACTAAAACTTCAGTATTCAGGTTTATTTCAGTGTTGGAATTTTGTGATAAATAAGTGGGTTTTGGGGCACAATTTGGCCACTCGTCTCTAAAAGTTTCACCATCACCTTGTTATGTGTATCAGCTGTTCATGCCTTTTTTGTGTGTTTTTTTTTTTGGTGCTGGGGATCAAACTCAGGTCTTTCCGCTTACGGGGCAGGTGGCAGAACCACTGAGCTAAATCCCCTGCCCTGTTCATGCCTTTTTATTGCTGAGTATGGTTGTGCTCAGCTTGTTACTTACTTTGGGTTGAAGGACATTTAGGTAGTTGAACATTTTTAATGACTATGAACAAAGTTGCTTTAAATATTCATGTATTAAGCATCTGAAATGTGCTAAGTATTTCATAAAACTTATAGTTGTGGAGATAAAAACCTACATCTATGAGTTAATGAAGTATATAAATTATGCATTATAAGATAAGCTATAGAGAAATAATCATGTATGATATGGGTTAATATCTGTATATATTCTCTCTGTCTCTGCTTCCCCCTATATATCATATATTTAAAATTAATAAAAGTACATAATCATAATGCAAGAATAAGCAGAGGAAGCCAGGAATGTAATATAGCTCAGTGCCACAGCACCTGCCGGGCAAGAGTGAGGCACTGAGTTCAATTCCTGGTTAAAAAAAAAAAAAAAAA